CTCATGATCAAGAAAAGGCATCTGATGAAAAAAGTTAGATTTTTTTCGCCACATTTTACTGATAAATATGCTTAGTTTTTGGCAGTCAACACTATACTTTTACACTGACACTAACAATTGCAGGGGAGACACATGCTTCTCTGGAACCCTTTACGATTGGTTTGTTTACAAGAGATATCAGTTTCTCAGTTGTTAATATTATTATAGTTTTAAGGTAAGTCTTGGAGCATAATGCACTACAGCTGTCTGTCTGTCCATTGTCTGTTTGTCCCTTAGTCGGTTGCTATATTGGACCATAAAACTTAACTGTGTTGAACATTGCAGTCAGTGAGACTCGGTGATTATTCTTATAACAGTGGTGATGATGGTCTTATCAATTGCAGATAGATTAACCTTTAAGGATTAGTAAAGAAATAAGATGATTTGGTTTAATTGACAATGAGACAACTTTCCACCAGTGACCAAATGAGGTAGACATAAGGTATGCTCTTTGGTAGCTCTATATGATGGGTCATCAACATTTGCTATTTTAATTGGTTGGTTAAAGTGGTATATGTCATATTTACATCTAATGACATTTACCTGATTTCATACTTCATTTAATGTCATATTTTATTTAGTAAATACAAGTTAAATATTATAGCAATTTGGCATAAACATATTGATATAATTGAATAATTAATAGGATCCGGAAACAAGATGTTAACATATTTTAATCTCAATCTAATTAAAATATAGTTCTCTGACTTCGTTATACGCACATGATATATGAGCTGGCGAGTTAATATGGATCAGAATTTTAATCAGGTTGATTTTAAAGATGTTCGCTCCTTTTGTTTTAGATTTTTTGCCAGATATTTGGAATCCTCTGGTTTTATCCATGTAGTGCCATTTAAAATTTTGCCCACTAACCCATTTCTTTTCATAATTTTATTACATATAGTTTAAAAAGCCATATTTGAAAATCTTATAGAATCCTTGTTATTTTTTCATTGTTTTTGAAAGAAAAAGATGCCAATGTTAAAGGTATGAAAATTCTAGAGAGAATCAATTCCCGCCAAATTTTCAATGGCTTATATCTCGAAAACAAGCACACGGACCCTTCATTTTTTTCTGCTTTTTTAGTTCCATCATTTATATACTATCAATTTATAACAGTCTTTTAAAAAGCATGTTATTTTGAAATAGAGTAGCAAACATCCTTAATCTGTTTCCTGTAAAGTCTTCAGGAATAGGTATTTTTGGAATTTCTCCATCTACAGTAAAACTCGTACTAAAAAAATTACATCTCTGTTGTAGTATGGAATGCTAAAATGAAAAAAACCTACCTGTTCGAATTATTTTTTATTTGGTTTGAATATGCAGGAAATAGTTGCCACTGGGCATTAAGCAAACACAAATAAAAAAACATGACATGTATATTCATTTATTGATCAGAACATATTAAAAGTTATTAGTATCAGTTATTTCAACAATCACAGTTCATTGAATAAAAATGTGTACTATTTGGTTTATATTTCATTTTGGTTCATAAAATTTTCGTTTAATAATTTGCATGTATGTGTTTGAACATAAATGTCGGGAAGTCCATGCAGACAGTAAGTCTAAGAGTTTGCATATTTTTCAAAAGGAGTCACAAATTTTTAACGCATCCTGATAACTTGAAAGTGTATATAGTGAATAAATCATTTTTATTGCAACATTTATGAATTAACTGTTTACAAAACTTTGAATTGACCGAAATACTACAGATTTTCTACCCAGGAATAGATTACCTTAGTTTTATTTCGCAAAACCTTTCAGAATTTTGCATCTTCAATGCTCTTCAATTTCATACTTTATTTGGCCTTTAACTTTTTTTATTTGAGCGTCACTGATGAGTCTTTTGTAGATGAAAATCGTGTCTGGCGTAAACAATTAAAAGCCTTGGTATCTTTAATGAGTTTTTTTTTACTAAAAACATTTCCCAGAATTTTCTATTTGCTAACAAGTTATCAAACTACTTAATTGCATTAAATTTTACTTTGACTACGGCTTCTCAGACCTTGATGTAATTAGTTTGATTTATCTAGATGTACTTTCCAACATCCTACATGAAAATCAACATTGATTTTCCACTTCATCATTGGAGCATAATGCACTACAGCTGTCTGTCTGTCCTTTATCTGTTTGTCCCATAGTCAGTTTCTAAATTGGACAATAAATCTTACCTGTGACGAAATTTCGGTCAGTGAGACTTAGTTCTTATATCTTCAACAGTATAGGGATGATGGCCTTATCAATTGCAAATAAGTTAACCTTTTAGGATTAGGCCAGTCTGATCTTCAGTAACTACACATGAAAGGTCAACAATATTTGCTATGTTAATTGGTTGAAGGTGTATGTCTATCTTTCGTCTTATGTCTATTTTTAAGATGCCATAAATAAAAGGGCCATTATATGGGCGTTTTTCAATAAAAGTGTGAATTTCAGACCTAAAAAAATGGAAAATCAACTTGTCCAAAATTTGATTTCAAGATTTATTTTGAATACCTCTATTATAGTCCTGTTTATAAATAAAAAGTGCAATCTTAAATACTCTTTAAAATGATATTATTTTCATAATTTATGTACTGTTTCGTAGGGGACATTTGTCCACTACGAAACTGCTTCTAAACGCACATCTTATTGCATTTTAATGTCTCCTACAGACATTCCAGTTTGTTTTACTTTATATACTAGAAAGATCTCATTTTTTCTGAATTGGAGAACCATTTTTTATCGATAAAGATTAGACAGTACTTCACATATGAAGGTACAACTCATGTTACGTAGTGGAAATTTTGATGAGTTTCGTAGTTGACAAAACCGTTTCGTAGTGGACAAAAAGTTTCGTAGTTGACATCAACCCTATTCTATGTTGATAAAAACATACTGAAAATTACATTAAACTAACCCTTGTTAATTGTTTTTGCACGAATATAATTGAAAAAAGAGTAAAAAACGACTGCATGGTAGTGGTAGTGTCCACTACGAAACGTTTTTCTCCCATACTTGTTTCGTAGGTGACCGTTTCGTAGTGGACATATTCACATGTTTTATTTTTTTTCCCCACAATCCCTATACTGCAATAGTAACAAGAATGATTCTATTCATCAAAGCACGTACTAAGCTGTACACTGATATTTTTTTCATAACTTTAAAACCAGATACTGAAGGAGATTTGACCCGTTTCGTATAGTGGACATTAACAAAAATACGGTATCACTCTGGTCCATTTGATGTGCTCAATTTTTTTTTGCCAACAATTTAACTCCCGTTATAAAAGCATCACTTCTTTTGTAAGACCCTAATGTTTATATCTCTTGCAAACATTGATTTTATAAAACTGTTTATTAGCAAAATTAAATGACTTCGTTTCGTAGTGGACATTTTGTCAGGAATGTCAAGGGACACACCTTCTAAAATTAAAAATCCTTTGTCAAAAACTGTTTGATAAAATATGTTGGCTCTAAACATACTTTTGAATAATTAAAGAACTTATATTAAGTAAAAATAACATTTATTTCTACCTTTTTTTACAATATTTTAGAGTATGAATGTTGAACAGGAGGTCTAGGGACATGTCATTTTGGTTATTTTGAACCATTCAGGAATCAATATCTTATTAGTCCCTCTAAAAATAGTATGTTTCTTTGCTTACAAATGTTAAATCTAATTCAATGTATCAACTGCACACAAAAATTACTTGTAAAGATCAAACACATTTTTTTAAAAGTGGCTGGGACAAGAAATCACGTTTTTATTGAAAAATGCCCATATATGGTGTGTGGAATGAGTGTTGGGTGCACATGTCCGACTGGCAGGTTTCATCTGACCTTGACCTCTCATTGGACAATGTTTTTTTGTGGTTTTGTCTATTTCTAACATACTATGAACAATAGTGCCATTATATTTTGTGTATGGAATGAGTGTAAGGTGTACATGTCTGTCTGGTAGGTTTCATCTGACCTTGACCTTATTTTCATAGTTCGTTGGTCAATGTTTTGTCAGATTATCAGATACTATAAGCAAAAGGTCAATCATATTTAGTGTATGGAAAGATTGTAAGATGTACATGTCTGACTGGTAGGGTTCATATGACCCTGACCTCATCTTCATGTTTCATTGACAATGTTTAGGTCTATTTCTCAGATACTATGAGCAATAGGGCCTCTATAGGGGTATGAAAAGATTGTACTCTGGTAGGGTTCATATGACCCTGACCTCATTTTCATGTTTCATTGGTCAATGCTAACAGGTTAAGTTTTCGTGTTTTTTGTCAGTTTATCGGGTACTTTAAGAAATATGACCTCTATATTTGGTGTATGGAATGATTGTAAGTTGTGCATGTCTGTTTGTCATGGTTCATCTGACCTTGACCTCATTTTCATGGATCATCAATGTTAAGTTTATTCGATACTTGTAGTAAAACATTCATATTTTAGACATTCGGCATAAATTCAATCAAGTAAAGCAGGCGAGACATTTCAGCGCCAGCACTCTTGTTATTTCATTCATTGAGTTTTTAATTTTTTTTTGTCCAACAATTTTAGTTCACGTGTATTTAAGCGTAAATGTAGGTACGTTTCAGCGCATCCCAATAAAGAAGTATATAGAAGCCCCTCCCCTTCATCCCACGCAGAGTTAATAAATCCTTGACTAAAACAATTTCCCAGAGATGGCAGTAATTTTACATTATACAAGTTATCAAACACCTCTTAATTGCATTAATTTTTTACTTTGACATCGGCTTCTCAGACCTTGATGTAATTAGTTTAATTTTTCTAGATGTACTTTCCAACATCCTGCATGGAAATCACCATTGATTTTCCACTTCATCAAGACCATTTTAATCACAAGGTGACTTCATGTAGAATTTATGTTTACAGTCATCAACCTTTATCTCAAAAACATTTTTGCACATTGAAAGCCATGAAATTGCTATTACAGTTGCCATAAACGTTAATCAATATACCCCATGATAGATTAGAACCGGATGCATTCTTAGGTTTGGCAATTGAAGCGGATAGCATGCAGGATCTGTTGGTTTCTGAAATATAGTTTCAAATTGAATTATTGTAAGTACATGTACCAATTGCATTTTAAACATTTTTTTTCATTTGGTCTCATATTTCTGTTTTGTTTCCAAAACGGCGAGATTATACCAACATCAGGTAAATTAATAGTTTCAGAATTCAGAGTTTTCTTAATTGTTTTTGTTTTCGCTTCTTCAATTTGTTTTTTTTTGTTGTATTTGTTTGTATGTTCGTATTTTCTTCTATGGGAATTAAGAAAAAACAATTCTTTCTCTAACTTGAAAATTGTTATTCATAATTTGATTTATCGAGCACCGTTGTTTACGAAATAGCTTGGATATTGCGTTGAGAATTATTTCGACAAGAAAAATGTAGGAGAAATGTAGATTTTAATTAAGAAAAAAAATTCTTTTATGCCATGCTCTATGCTCGTTTTAACATGGGTAAGCATTATATTTGTAAATATCTTTATACCGAATACGAGACCATGGATAGGCATTATATTTGTCAATATCTTTACACTGAGCGTTAGCGACAAATATAATGTCTACCCATGTTCAAAGGAGCATAGAGTATGGCATGATAGAACTATTTCGATTCTAAAAGGAAAATTTCGAACTTTTGTACTTCCAAGCGGACCTATAGTACGTGTTCGAAAGGCATACATTTTGATTTGATGAAGCCAAAACGTTAAAGAAAATCAACCGTTTCACGATACATAGCTAACTTAGATTCCGTCGTCGGCGTCGTCAACATTTAGGTTCAGTCTGTTAAAGTTTTTTTGAGACATCAATTACTTTGTCAAACCTTTATGCAATTTTATGACCAAAAGGTAGCATTCAGAACCAAATTATGAAAATATTTATTTTCATTTTTCCGTATTTGAATGACAAAAGAAATTATTTATTTGCAGTTAACAAGTACTCTATACAGTCTGGTATTAAAGTTTGTTATACATCATTTACTTTGTTTAACCTCCATAGAATTGCACGAAACTTTGACAGAAGCTTTTGTATGTTTAAGAGATAATATATGAAGCAAAATTTTGAAAAAGAGACATTTCTAATTCCAATTTGTATAAACTACTTCGCAGCTTAAATCTGTTTGTAAGGAGTATCTCCCCACACGATTTGTCCGGTAGAATTTCTAAAGTCAGACAATTAATTCATTTGTTTAGGTTCACAGTATTTCGATAAATGGCAAACACATTTCGTAGAGAAATAAAATTGACAGCTATAAAGACACCAGTTATAACGTATTCAGCTAGGCAGCATTTCTGTCCCTATCTAGTATATCCTTTCTGTAACAGTCTAAATTTCATGCTCGTCATCCCGCAAACCAACTTTAAAGAACCTACGAATTGGATTAATTGTTAATTTGTTCTCGTCCATAGTATGCATGGAATACATTTGCCACTGGACGTTAAGCAAACCAAACCATGGATAGGCATTATATTTGTCAATATCTTTACATCGAGCGTTAGCGAGGTGTAAACTGTTGACAAATATAATGTCTACCCATGTTCAAATGAGCATATAGCATGGCATGATAGAATTATTTCGATTCTAAAAGGAAAATTTAGAACTTTTGTACTTCGAAGCGGACCTATAGTATGTGTTCGAAAGGCATACATTTTGATATGATGAAGCCAAAACGTTAAAGAAAAGCAACCGTTTCACGATACATAGCTAACTTAGATTCCGTCGTCGGCGTCGTCAACATTTAGGTTCAGTCTGTTAAAGTCTTTTTAGACATCAATTACTTTGTCAAACCTTTATGCAATTTTATGAAATTTGGAAAGAAGCTTTTTTATGACCAAAAGGTAGCATCCAGAACCAAATTATGAAAATATTTATATTCATTTTTCCGTATTTGAATGAGAAATGAACTTATTTTTTTGCAGTTAACAAGTACTCTATACAGTCTGGTATTAAAGTTTGTTACACATCAATTTCTTTGTCTAACCTTCATAGAATTGTTTGAAACTTTGGCAGAAGCTGTTTTATGTTTAAGAGATAATATCTGAAGCAAAATTTTGTAAAAAGAGACATTTCTAATTCCAATTTGTATAAACTACTTCGCAGCTTTAATCTGTTTGTAAGGAGTATCTCCCATCACAATATGTCCGGTAGAATTTCTAAAGTCAGACAATTCATTTGTTTAGGTTCACAGTATTTCGATAAATGGCAAACACATTTCGTAGAGAAATAAAATTGACAGCTATAAAGACACCATTTATAACGTATTCAGCTAGGCAGCATTTCTGTCCCTATCTAGCATATCCTTTTTGTAACAGTCTAAATTTCATGCTCGTCATCCCGCAAACCAACTTTAAAGAACCTACGAATTGGATTAATTGTTAATTTGTTCTCGTCCATAGTATGCATGGAATACATTTGCCACTGGACGTTAAGCAAACCAAACCATGGATAGGCATTATATTTGTCAATATCTTTACATCGAGCGTTAGCGAGGTGTAAACTGTTGACAAATATAATGTCTACCCATGTTCAAATGAGCATATAGCATAGCATGATAGAATTATTTCGATTCTAAAAGAAAATTTAGAACTTTTGTACTTCGAAGCGGACCTATAGTACGTGTTCGAAAGGCATTCATTTTGATTTGATGAAGCCAAAACGTTGAAGAAAATCAACCGTTTCACAAACATAGCTAACTTAGATTCCGTCGTCGGCGTCGTCAAATAGGTTCAGTCTGTTAAAGTTTTTTTAGACATCAATTACTTTGTCAAACCTTTATGGAATTTGATGAAATTTGGAAAGAAGCTTTTTTATGACCAAAAGGTAGCATCCAGAACCAAATTATGAAAATATTAATTTCATTTTCCGTATTTGAATGAGAAATGAACTTGTTTGCAGTTAACAAGTAATCTATACAGTCTGGTATTAAAGTTTGTTACACATCAATTACTTTGTTTAACCTTCATAGAATTGTATGAAATTTTGACAGAAGCTTTTGTATGTTTAAGAGATAATATCTGAAGCAAAATTTAGAAAATGTATATTTTTTTCATTTTCAGTATTTTACTCAGATGGACTATTTTTGCTCTTAACAATTACAGACAATTTAGGATTACATTGTAAACTGTTTTGACATGATAAATTTGTAAGCCTTCATTGATTGTGATGAAACTCGGACAGAGGCTAATCTTCTAGATAAAAAATGTCATCTAAAGACAAAGTTTTATTTTTGCTTTTAAATTATGCATTTGACTGATAATGGACTCAATTTTTAGTCAACATTACTTTTTTACACTGACAGCAGCAAACGCAGGCGAGACACACAGTTCTGCGGAACCCTTAACGAATTTTTTTTTTCTTAGTTTCTGTTGTTTATTTTTTCTTGGATTATTTTAATTCTTTCTGTAAAACAAAAAAGAAAAAAATCTTTCTTCAGTAGTGCAATAGCCAATATAGCAAGATTATTTTATTTAATATCAAAAACTTGATGGTAAATATGTTTATGTTTTACTGTTATCATGATCAGTTATGCTCAAAGATTTTTCCCTTTTAACTTTGCAGAGTATCGTTATAGGCATGTCCATTCATGTGCAGGTTGTGTTATTGATGGTGATTCCAGGTACGTATCTGCTTACGCCGTTGTATAGCAACATGTTTAGTTTGAGATCAGTGGGTGTTGAAATATCGTAATTTTTCCAGCTTTAACTTTACATGTCGTTCATGTATTTTATAGTCATTGTAACATAATGTTACCTCAGCGTTGGTTGATTGAGAACACGTAAATCCATTCACAATGGTTGATCATGCATATGTTGACATTTAGATATCTTTTGGTTATTTTTTATCGTTCGCTTACTGTATCTGCGACATATACCCACGTATTCTTTTATGAACATTTTCATTATTTTAACTCCTTATAAAAACAAAACAAATAAAGAAAGAAAAAAACGCAGACCTTAATTCCACCATTCGCTTGAAATAAATAAAAAACATTGCAGTAATATCATTTTCCGTCAAAAAAGGATCTATGTCAAACCATAAGTACACGATAATTGTTCTATAAACGTTTAGATACCAACGAAAACTGTATTACCAATTTTATCTACATAAGATGCATGATATATTTGCCACTGAACGTTATAGCAAACAACCATTTAATCAATTGTTATCTACAAAGTAGGTCGAAGATATTTACCGAAAATAAGGTTGACTTATGTTCACAAAGTTTAACCACAGAATATGCAAAAATTGCAGAGTGCTAATATTATTCGTCGTAACTATTGACTGGAGTTGCTGCACAACAATCGGTCGAAATATAGAGTAAATAGTTTCAAAATAACCATGCAGACATTGTTTGGTTGATGATGGAAAGGATGTTAGTAAATCGGAAAGAGGTTTCCTGGAGTATTTGGCAGACCTAGAGACATTGTAAGAACGCTTAAGTAATGTGGATATCAACTTATCAAGTCACGATTAAATGAACACCGAACTTCAAAGGAACATAACATATTGGTTTTTTCGTTGGTCGTTATCTGTCATATTTGTTTTTGGTTTGTTTATTGATTTGTCATTAATCAGGCTGTTGATTTTGTCGTTTGAATTGTTTCATATTTTGTCATGTCGGGTCCTTTTATTGCTGACTATACCATATGGGTTTTGCTCATTTATGAAGGCCGGTACGGTTATCTAAAGTTGCTTACATCCACGTCATTTGGACTCTGATTGATAGGTGTCTCATTGGCAACCATACGTCTCCTTATTCTCATACAAATTAAACATATGATTGTCCAGGATTTCTCTTAAGTTAAATGTTGTTGGGTATATATTGGGTTTCTAAGTGAATTGTCGATACCGGAATCCTGTACCAAGCAGTTGAAATGTGACAAATAAAAATGAAATTGTTTTGGAATTTTTGATAAGGAGACATTTTTAATTCTTATTTGTATAAAATACATCACAGCTTTAATCTATTTGTAAGGAGTATCTCCGTATTCCCTAACTATTTGTCCGGTAGAATTTCTAAAGTCGGACAATTCATTTGTTCAGGTTCACAGTATTTCGATAAATGACAAACACATTTCGTAAACAAATAAAATTGACAGCTATACGGACACCAGTTATAACGTATTCAGATATGCAGCATTTCTGCATACCCTTTTTTCTGTAGCAGTCTTAATTTCATGCTCATCATCCTGCAGACCAACTTTGAAGAACCTACGAATTGGATTAATTGTTAATTTGTTCTCGTCCATAGTATACATGAAATATATTTACCACTGGACGTTAAGCAAACCAGGATAAATAAATAAAATTAATCAGTAAATAAAATCAAGATGGTCGTCAGCTTCAGAAATAATGTGTATCTGAAAGACAATTAAGGGGGGGGGGGGGGGGGGCAACCGATTAAGTGCCGTTATTATAATTATAAAATATTTTTCCTGCAGTATTTTTGTTTTTTGTTTACTGTATGGCTTTTCTATTTTATGTATCCTTTTAGGTTGCACTTTGTAAATACAGCTGTTTCTCAAACCACGCCTCTTTTGGGGAGATATATAATATTCATAGATATGTTAATTTGTTAATGTACTGGTTCCCATTTATGATCTCTGTGTTTCCTCTCATAGAGACATCACTTGGGAATGTCACCAGTATAGAAAAACATGGTAGCGCCTAAATTTTAATTCTTAGGAGGTCCAAATATGAAGGTAAGGGTAGTATAGAATTTTAGTATAAGTTTAATCTCTTAGAAGTTCAGGGCATATAAATGTTGAAAATATGCCGCACAGCCCTATATTTTGACCTTTGAATAAAATAGTAGTGCATATAAACTTTCCGTTCTGGGATATAATTTTTCACGAAACTTCATAGTAAAAGTGTCACAGTTTTAGCCGCAAAGGGAGTTCCTATGGGAAATTGCATTGTCTATATTTACAGAATTGCAACCTTTAGTGTTAGTCTTGAAACTGATCGAAATTAAACATGAGAGGGTTGCAATTAAATATCTGATTGAGCGTGTCAGTCTAAATAGTCCTAAACAGAGTTCATGTTCATGTTCACGTCTTGAATATAAATCTTATTTGTCACTGGACGTTAAACATCCATTGATCTATCCAACCCCTAAGTTAACTAGAGTACATCCATTTTATTAATTCATGGCAGCACTTAAAATGTTTTTTCTAGTTGCTTTTTCAACAACAGTATGTAACAATGTCAGAAAAATTCGTAAAGTCTTACATTTTTACTGAATTGTGGGTAATAAAAGGATAACTCCCCCACGTTCATTGACTTCGCGGGGGTGAGGGATTATTCAATTCATCTAAATGTTTATATTAGAAGGTATAAGTCTGAATTGGGTATCCTGTATTAGCCATTGATTTAAGCCACGACTTATGTAAATTTAATTGCAGTTGTCATAGGTAACCATTTAAAGTCAAGTGGTAGATTTTTTAGTATTGATAGATCAGAAAGAGTCTGTGATTATGTAACATAATATGTAACACAAGATTTGGGCAATGAATTTCACTACATATTAAATAGTACTTTCTTCAATTAAGAGAGAAGAATGTTTATGTAAAGTTAGAAATGTTGCTAGTGTTTGTGATCTAATGAACAGTAAATATAAATTCATTCTTGTTGGTTTAACCAAATTTTCTTCAAACCGTAATAGAAAAACAAAAGATATGGGGTATCCATCCATGACACAAAAAGCAAAGGAACAGCGCTTTTATTGCTGTTCTTCATCTCAAAGTCTAAGTGAGGCCTTTAACACGGAGCAAAAAAAATAATACATCAAACAAACAACTCTCACCTCACTGCAAGTTTAAGACGGCCCCTAATACCGGCTTGAACGGAATTCTTTGCAAAAATGGTTTGGATAAACTTGGATAGACTTTGTAAGATGTAATTAGATATAGGAATATGTGGTATGAGTGCAAATGAGACAACTCTCCATCCAAGTTACAATTTATAAAAGTAAACCATTATAGGTCAAGGTACGGCCTTCAACACGGAGCATTGTCTATATTTAAGTAATTTTCCTTCCTACGGAGTTCTGTACATGCCGGCACACATGTTTGTTCATGCATTGTGTTTGTTTATATTATTTGTTGGTACTATCATGTCCCGTTTGAGTCTTTGTGAAATAAAAAGCTTCAAAAGAGAGGATTGTTATGCTCTATTTGAAATAAAATACATGTATAGCTTAACTTCTTATTTAATTGGTACCACCCGTAATTAACTGTAAAATGAACTATTTCCAATTTCAACAGAACTGGTACTGTGTGATTATTGTAACTTGGCTCTTTACAAACCAACCACAGCGAATTGTTATGACACAAGTCACCCGTGTCATGCTGTCGATGGTGACAACAATCAGACGTTTTTTTCCTGTAAGTCTGACCATCCTTGGTGGCAAGTGGATATTGGGATGTCACGCAAAATAGACTCCATTGAAATTTCCTTCTTGCCAGGAGAGACTACAGGTGCGTATAGATCGCAGCAACCGCATTATAGAGCCGAATGAGATATTTTTTTACCAAGCTAAAAATGACCTGTTTTGCATCAAATATGATATTTATTTCTAATGTATGTTAATAGCTTAAATTTCTGTGAAGATATGAAATTTCATTTTTTTCTCCTCATTTTTTTATATCGTTAGTTGAATGTTTCTTTCGTGCATTTAAAAAAAAATGTGTAATGTCTATTTTTAAATTACTATATATTTGTCTCTACGGACTTAAACATAAAGATCTAGAAGTAGACCGTTAACGATGGAAACTCTGCTTAGGAACACAAAATCTGTTAATATCTTGTAGAATTTCTGTGAAGGTATGAAATTTAATGTGTTTTCTCATTTTTTGGATATCGTTAGTTCGGTATTTCTTTCATGCATTTGAAAAATTGTGTAATGGCTATTTTTTATAAACCATTATTGTCTCTTCGGACTTAAACATAAGGAAGTAGACCATTAACGACGAAAAGTCTGCTTAGTAACACAAAATCTGTTATCTTAAACCATGTTTAAGGGGGGACATAAATTTAAAAATTCAAAAGGTTTTAATGAATACATGTGCCCTGATGACTAATTCATAATGAATTAGACCCATGGAATTGCTACTAAGTAACAAAAAGTCTACATTATAATATATTTACATATAATTCGAAATTATATGTTTCCCTCTTTTAACTACATTAACATAAAAAATGATATTCAAAAGAGTTTAATCTAATACGTGTGCACTGATTGAATTCTGATGAGCTGCGGTTGTAATATGTCCAATATTTTAATCCTTATAAATACCTTGTAAATGCACAGGTTTTGGAAACCCTCATAAATCGTGCAGAAACAATATGCCATGGCAATATTTTCTTATTATTATACGGAAAAGTAATTGAAATCTGAAGTTGAGGTAGGGCTGCAGAGGACTGATAATGATGTCCGGTCCTTCACTATAAATCTCTGGCCCACTAGGTCGGTAATAGTAACAGATTTAGAATATGATTATCAAAATGTTTGTTCACGGCCAACAACAATTTTATTACGATGTAACTCGGGCTTGATAATATAATTTTCTCCAAAGAATACCGTGATACTGGACCCAGTACCGTACCCTTAATGTGTGAACACTAAACAGCTGCTAACATGAAGGTATTTTGTGAAGATCACTACTTAACTTTAGACCAACACGCTTTGTGTTCCTTCTCGGTGTGATCAGATTATTTTAGAAATGTTTTACGTGTTCTCTTTGGTGTAATTCTATTCTTTTTCTCTGGCAGACGATATAAGTATAACAACATTTGATGATATTCTACCAGGCGGAGACATTGTCAACATCACAAAATGTGGAGTGGATACTAAAATCCTTTCTTTGACTCTCTGCAAAGAAAGCTTGAAAGGACGATACGTCCGGATTTCGAAAAAAGTTTTATCCGGTACTATCAAATTACAAGAAGTAGAAGTATATGGTAATGTTATACATTTTATACATTTTATTGAATTGTACGTATGACATGCATGTAGCTGTTAGATTTTTTTTTAAAATATTTTGGAAACAAACCGTTTGAAAATAAAAATATGGTCAATATCACATGTAAAAAATGTATTACCAAAAATACCGAACTCCAAGGTAGATTCAATAAGGGTTCAATATTTAGCAATAGGAACCTAAATAAACCAATATACCCAGGTAAGAAGCTGTAATTGATAAAATTTCATTTGTAGGAAACGTTGATGGGCCATGTCCAATGATCACAGAAAAGTGGATATGTGACGACATATGCGTGGCTCCAGAAGGGGCAACTGGTGACCAAGTCTGTAGTAATTGTAAGTGTCCGTGTACAACTATTGGAGAGGAGGCAAACCACATACTTACTGAAGAGGAACTTCAACAGAAAATTGATCAACTTGTTAATGAAATCAGTATAGATAAGAAAAATACAGCTGTCTCCAAAAGAAAGCTGATAAGTGCACCGGATAGTAGGAAGTCGGCTATGGCAGTAGGGTCGACTGGTATCGTCATACTGGCATTGTTACTACTAGGGATTATTGCAATGGATGCTAGCAGACTAGTCTGTCTTGTCCACTTGACAAGACGGTTTTGTAACAAATACAAGAACTAGATACATTTTTGTAATAGAAGTTTGACATGTAGTACTATTAACCATTTTCATAAAGTCACTACGAAGTTCCAAAATTCCGTCGCTTTGGTATTTTGTTTTTGGTTTTGTTTTACGTTTAATTGTTTATCTATTTGTTATTATTTGTTGTTACTTGATAGATTTGAATTACTGAACTTTAAAAGCACGCTTGTCTTCCTGTAATGCCTATACATGCAACACTATAATCAGTTTATTGGATCGACAAAAAGGCTTCGAGAGTTCTATATTTTCATACAAATAGTCCCGTCATAGTTGGAAGAACATAAACCTTTGTATTCATCAGCAATAGTGTGTAAAGACTTAAACCTTTTTATTAATCAGCAATAGTGTGTAAAGACTTGATTAAACCTATGTATTCATCAGCAATAGTGTGTAAAATAAATCGTATGAAAGAGCTTTCTGTCATCCCCGTTTCTTTGTTTGAACCCTGATTTCAATTTGTTTTGGGTCCGCCTCCGCCTTTTGCATTGTTGAGGACTTTAAAGCAACTAGACTGTTGTTCACTATTTTTTTGGGGGAAATCTTTTGGCTGAAGTTTTTCTTTGTTTTGTTCCTCCTTTTGGTAGGTTTTTTGAGGTATGCGGTAAAATCAAACACAACATATGTAACGGAATATAAATAATTTTCTTAAGAAAATTACAAAAATAGGATTATTTGGGGAACATCTCTTTTTTAACTACAGGTTGTTTTGTTTTTGGTTTTCTGCGTCTATATGATGAGTCAAGTCTTTTTTAAACTGATTTTTATAGTTTGTCCTCATGTTGTGCTGTTCCACCACTGTCCCAGGTTGGGGGACGATTAAGTGCTCGTAAACATGTTTATCTCCACGCATTCTATATGTGCATGTCTAAAGAAGCCTGGTCGCTGAATATCGTATTTGTGTATCGATTATTGTTCTGTCATACATGTTGGTTTTCTCGTTTGAATTGTTTTACACTTTATGCTTTATGGGGCCTATAATCACTAATATCCACGCCATTTGATCTCATTGACAACAACCCCACATCCTCTTATTTTATATTAGTCATATGAATGTCCTCAATAATTAATTGGTTAAAATAAGAATCATTCTGACGTGTAGTTTACATGCTAGATAATATTTGAACAAAAACAATTTTGGTGTCAAACTGTATAAATATGTTTAAGTGAACATGGATGTGTTTTCATTTGTTTGTGTGTGTCTGTGTATGTGTGTGCTTTATACTTCTTCCTTGTTGGTCGATAGGTCTTGAAAATTTGATTTGATGCAAACAACCTTAATTAACAGACACGAACTTTTATGTATCATGTTAAGTCAATTAGATAAATTATATATATAAATTTAAAAAAAAACACTTCGGAAGCTGTACTGAAGAGTATATATAATTCAATGTTTCACTAAGTAGTAAATAAATTTTAAAACTACTTAAAAGATCAAAAGCTCATTATATTATGTAAAGTGTTTTTATGAGACTACAAGTAATCGAAGAGTTCTGTAGTTGACAAAAAATGAAGTTTGGATATTTCTGAAATTCATATTAATATTATTCCCGTTTAGTTTAGAAATTAGTCAACATTTCAATATAGTATACATAAAATGTCAACAGTGCACTGGCCTTTTGAGTCGGATGTAATTATAAATTACATTTTCCGTTATGAAAATGAAATTTTACCAACATATGTATTTTATTCTATTAAAATGGCAGACGATCATATTTTTGTATTTCTATGTTTACAAAATGTTCCCACTCGGTGAAGTATTTTAAGACTATAGTAACTGTTACGTTTAGTGATATTCTATAGATGGTTTAAAGTCTAAGATCAGTTTCGCTTGAAAAACGAGATAAAAATAAAGTTAATACAATTGTACTCTGACAGTGAACTTGACCTTAATATTCCTTAGAGAATATAATTTAAAAATTGTATCAAGGCATTGAAGTTTCTATAACGGTCAACCAAGAGAGGCGAAAGATACCAAAGGGACATTCAAAATCATAAGTCGAAAATAAACTGACAACGCCATGGCTTAAAAAGAAAAAGACTAACAGACAAACAACAGTACACAAAACAAAACATAGAAAACTAAAGACTGAGCAACACGAACCCCACCAAAAACTGGGGGGATCTCAGGTGCTCCGAAAGGGTAAGCAGATCCTGCTCCACATGTGACACCCGTCGTGTTGCTTATGTTAGTACAAACCCGGTAATAAGTCTACCTCAGTAGGTCACATTCGGGGATAGGGGACGGGATTGTAGTTAGAACATAACCGCTATCATCTGTGAAACTGATATTCCATAACGGTCAACCAACTCGTGATGGCGTCCGTAAAATTTACGAAGGAATGATTTCAACTTCACCACTTGGAACTCTTGGTTTAATAGCTTCCTTGTAAGCAGCAATCCTCTATCAAGGAAATAATGATAGGAAATACAAGCCCTGGAATATCGTATCAACTGGGAGATACATACTCCGTATGCAGGCGTATGCTGGAATGTTGCTACATAGAAATGGAAAGTTCACAATTGGGAATCTGAAATCATCTCTTTTGTCGTAAAGTTTTGTTTTCAACCGACCTTCATTGTAAATTTCTAGATGTAAGTCAAGATACGAGACAGGCTTAACTGTATTTGGTGTATCCTTTATCTCAAGTTCAGTGGGATAGATGCGTTCAACATAGTCACCAAATTTTGAATTATTTAGTGAGAGAACATCATCTATATAACGGAAAGTAATCTTAAAGGATACTGCTTACATCTTTTCTTTCTTCCTAAGAAGTTCCTGTGTGAAGTCAGCCTCATATGAATAAAGGAACAAGTCGGCAAGAAGAGGGGCACAGTTGGTTCCCATGGGACTGCCGATTTCTTAACAGGTGATGCAGTACAATATAATTATGCACCGGAAAAATACGTCCTCCAAACGTAACAAATATGTTGTCAATCAAGAAATCAACTTGACAAGCATGGGAATTTTTTGTTTGAATCAGAGTGATTTTTTACAAAGTAGGAACTATCTCTCCCTAAGACAAGATACTTGTATCCACGTTGGGCATTCTTTTTTATGAAACAAAGCAGGATGACTTCAACTTAAAAATTGCACCTAGATGTAAAAATACAATCTCCAACAATAGACTGGTCGTCTTAAGCTTCAAATCGCCTGATCCGAAAAAAAGTGTTTGTAAATAAATATAACAGAAAACTATCAGAGATCTACCATCAACACTCAATTCTCAAAATAAAAAAGGGGGAAAAAATACAAAAAACAACAACACACACATTAAGATACGATAAAAGACCATTTACGAGGCTCCTGACATAGTGGCATGCATAAACAGGATGACCGTAAATTATCTCCTCCAACTTTCTAACAAATACAAAGGATGTAGATAATATTAATTTTGAATTCGGAAAGAATAATTGATGACAGCTACTTAAAAAGAAGTTTAATAAAGTAGCGTGTCTGTATTTCATATTTCATCAACTGACTATCACGTAAAACCCGTATTTGTATAGTCTAACTATGCAAATCATTGCGTGAAACAAACAAAATATGCTTGTTCAGTTAGCCTATATTTATGCTTTACTTTGAACAATATCATTTATCAATCTAATTAAAACTCATCTATATTAACTCGCGTGCTCGTATATATAAGTACTCATATGAGAATAACGAAATCTATATTTTAATTAGATTGATCATTTATACGCCCGTTACTTGATTTTTTTGCTTGCAAATTAATCAGACATTTTGACAAAAGCAGTAGAATTGACGAGAAGGCTTAACTTTATTTATGCATGTTGTCAGTGGAATTTATCCATGATCTTTCTATAAAGAAGAAATGTAAAAGCAAGCCTTTTCTTGCCTGAAAAATATCAAAATTGACCCTGAAATGGAAAATTAATTTGCATAGCTGTTACTTTGTAGTTATCAAATATGGGATTCCATATAAAATTCACAAATTCAGTAAAAACACATATTTTATTTTTATAAAAAAGGGTTGAAGTCACTCAAAATCCCAAGTGCTTGTCGAATATCTTTGTTAGATTTAACCAAATCTTCTATCCTTCGAGTCAATTAGATAATTGTGATCACATAAAGCTGAACTCGCTTTTAAATCATAAACCAAGTTAGTCATTAAATACAGTATCACTTTCGAGCTCATAAATGATACATAAAGAGGTCACATTCAATTAAGATACAGGGCGGGAGCGTTAAAAATACTAGACAGCATAACAGATCATATCAACCACTGACAATTATATCCCCCGAAAGACAGCATCCGTAGTCTCGTGGTAGCTTAGCTCGCCTCGAGTAGGCCACGAGTCGTGGGATCAAATCCTGGCCGGGCCTAACCAAAGACTGGAAAATTGGTATCTGTAGCTTATCCGCTAAGCGCGCACGGCATTAAGAATTTAATACAAGACCAAAGACTTGTCGGCTTAGAGTCAGAATTCTACTAGGCTGACCTGTTTCTTTACGGATTTGTATCATGTGAACTAGAACGTTAAAAATCTATCTCAACGTGTCGGTCAAGTACAAAGCGAGGTTCATATTCATAGCGTGTCAACATGTTCTCGTCCTGATATGTATGTAGTATTTGCCACTGAACATTAAACACCAATCCATTATCATCATTTCCAACAACAAAAAAACGAGATAAAAACAAAGACAATCAGAAAAACGAACACAATCATGGTCCAGGTTCATAACCTTAGCTCTCTTATTTAGCCCATCATAGCCTTATAAGACACAAACAAAAAAGGTTGTGGGTGAAACCTTAGCTCCCCTATTTAGTCCATAATAGCCTTATTAGACACATACAAAAAAGGTTTTGGGTGAAACCTTAGCTCCCCTATTTAGTCCACCATAGCCTTATTAGACACAAACAAAAAAGGTTGTGAGTGAAACCTTAGCTCCCCTATTTAGTCCATCATAGCCTTATTAGACACAAACAAAAAAGGTTGTGAGTGAAACCTTAGCTCCCCTATTTAGTCCATCATAGCCTTATTAGACACAAACAAATAGAGGTTGTGGGTGAAACCTTAGCTCCACTATTTAGCCCATATGACGTAGGACTAAAACACACAATATAAAACTTGCACAATGTAGCTACCAATAGGATGACCGATAATGTAAACAAGGAACTATAAAACGGCACCTAATTTTGGCTGCAGCATCCTAATTATTGTCACATTAACCTCTTATGTCTGTTTGGGTTACTCGCCCAATTTTGTCAATATAACGGAACTATAAACAACTGTCATATAAGTGGGAGGTTTAGCTAGCTCTAAAAACAGGGTTAACACACCGTTTTCTTCGGAAAATGACCGTACCAATTCAGGAATATGGCAGTTTTTTTTTTCACTTGTTCCGTTGCTTGATGGCATTTTATCTTGTCAGTATTCATGGACATCTCCTTTTAGAATTTGCCTCGGACATGTCGGAGTTCGGTATTTTTGTCATATACTTTTTTTGAAAAAAAGTAAGATAAAATTGTGCTAGCTACTACAAATAGCGAGCATAATAAAGTTATTTCAGTCACTATGCAGCTACCCACCAAACAATGGAATAGACACTATTGTAATGCTTAAACGTAGGGCACCACAAGATCGCTCTTGATTTTGACTGTCAAACAAGTAAATGAACAATTGGAATAAAAAACTATGCAGCTAACATCCTATCATTTGGTCTCTGGCATATTAATAAAAATCGCTACAGGAAAACTTTAAAAAAGAGGCGGGAGATACCAAGGGGACATTGAAAAATCACAAGTTGAAGAGAAGCTGACAACAACATTGCAAAATACGAAAGACGACGAAAAGATAAAAACCAGTCTATAAAACCATGGACTGAGTAAAACTGTGATATCAGGTGTTCCGGAAATGTAAACATGTCCTGTACCGATTGCAGCACCCGTGGTGTTAAATATAACAAGTTTAAGCTTTCTAAAAAGCTGTGGACTGCTTCGCTCTATCCTAATTTAAGGTAATATGTGTGCATGTGGTTGTTGATTTAGTATAGGAAATGTGGTAATCTTAGATATTGATTGATATAAAATGGATGTCTTAGATTTGGAATATCAATTTTTGTATATATATATATTAAGATGAACTTTTCTGAAATTTTTAACTGGCTGTTCATCAGTGTTTAGTTGTCAAATTGGATGTGTTTTTGTGGAGTGTGGTTTTCTAGTTCTTTCAGCTGGTCATTGACTTGCCATTTTGATTGCTAGTTCTGTAAATAATTTATTTAGATATATATGAATGTTTAGGTATGTTGATTAAGAGTAACATGAAAGCTTGCAATGCGAAGCAATAACATATAATTGTAAACAGCAATACATATTTAGTTTCAGTGTAAATGATGTTGTTCTACTTTAAGAGTGTGCGTTATACACCCATGCTTTTAAAATTTTGTTCACTTTACTTGTTGAAAATTAAAAAAATTTACAAATAGACACGACTCTGGAGGTGTGCCTCTCTGGAGGTGTGCCTAGATTGGCAGAAGTTATAAAATACAGATAATGCATTTTTGTAAACATTGTATAGGAACATTTGTTTAGCAAAACAAATCGTGAATATTGCAGATTAACAAACTAAATAAACACGTACTAACAATTGATATTTCAATATTGAATTTCAGTGTGCAATATATGCATAATAAAACGAACATGAATTAATGACAGGAACTGAAATACACATAGTTAATTTTCCGGCATTTGATGTTTTATCCTGAGACGAGAAAAGTCTGTCATTCTTTATCTCATTTAAGCCAATAGCTGTTGCTGTATCTCAGCCGCACCATAAAGCAACCAATCAGAATCTATATGTGATAGTAATTATTTCAAGATGGCGTCAATCGGCAATCCTCGGGTGAATCCGCTACTACTTTCCTTCTATCCAATCGGCAATCCTCGGGTGAATCCGCTCCTACTCTCCTTCTATCGGTACGGAATCGGCCGAGTTGTGACGGATGAAGAAGGCGTGTATACCGACTGAAACTAAATAGCTCCGTACCGTGATGCGAAGCAATAACGTAATATATAAAAAAAAAGTACAAACAAAACAATAAGATGATCGCAGCTTAAATTCTATGAAACCAATGTTTGTTCATCGAGCTATGAAACCAATGTTCATCACACTACGAAACCAATGTTCATCAAGCTATGAAACCAATGTTCATCAAGCTACGAAACCAATGTTCATCAAGCTATGAAACCATTGCCCATCAAGCTATGAAACCAATGTTCATCAAGCAATGTTCATCAAGCTATGAAACCAATTAATGCACAATTAATACCCTGGCCAAAAATAAAAATTGAAAAGAACAGCAGTCCACAAAACGCTGCACCTAAAACTAATGACTGGGAAATCCACACCTTAAAAAAATCTAAACAAAACAAAACAAAAAACAAAGAAGATCGGGGGATCTCAGGTGAGTTGGTTATGTAAGTAGATCCTGCTTCATTTATGGCACTCGTCGTGTTGCTAACGGCAAGTAAAATTTGCGTAATAAGTTTCATTCGGTGATCATGGTTACAATCGAGTCCGCCAGTCTGTCGTGGTCATCTGTGACGCAGATATTCCACAACGGTCAATCAAATCATTAAGGCGCTCGTAAAACATTCGAAGGGAAGACCGTTTTATTTTACCACCATGAAACCTTAATTGTTTCATAAGATTCCTTAATTGTATAAACAGCAACGGTCTATCAAGGTTATCATAGTAGGAAACGCAAGCTCGGGAATATCGTATCAACTGTGAGATATATTCTCCTTTAATTAGTCGCTGCTGAAATGTTGCTAGTCTAATAGAGATGAAAAGTTGACAATTTAAAATCTGAAATCGGCTCTTTTGTCGTAAAGTTCTCAAACTACCCTCATTATTGTCAATTTAAGTTGATCATTAAAATATGAAGCAGACTTAACTGTATCTTCTGTCACACGTACTCTATTACGACACAGACTAAACGAACTTCTTGTTGTTGGTTTTTGACATGAAATATAAAAATACTTGTTACGGTAGGCTGATAATTAATCTTTTTATTCTTCTCAGTTAAATAATATATTAGTTTACAGCGAAAATGGACATTTTTTGTGGTAGACAAATAAAAGTCGAAATTGTTTATTCTGGTACCACACTGTGCATGCATTCAAAATTCACAATCACTTTTCGACTAAAGATTAGTGCAGCTGAGCAATTACTGGAGCTATTATAGTAGTTTTATAGTTAGTATAATAGTCCCCGGCAATGCATAATTTGGGTTTTCTCTATTTAAAGCATAAACTTTATATCGATAATCAGTAATTGTTTAAAAAAAAAGAATATGTGCTTCCACGTGGCTTTTAAATACTTTTGTATTAACAAAAAGATAGTATTACAGCTAAGTCCTTTACTAATGTGAACCAGGGACATAACATATTGATATATATATAGTATAATTTAGTCCTAGTGGGAATGGATATATTTCTGGTATCAGAAGCCACGGTGTACTAGTTTATTTAGTTTATTTCTTTGCTAATTTTTAGTAATTATTTACACACAATCTAAATGTGAAATGTAAAAATAAAACTTTCATTGCGTTAAAAATGAAAACAAAACTCAATCTGAGACTACTACAACACATATGTTATATAGTTGTCTCAGACTCAATTTTGTGCGTCAGAAGCGCTTTTCTGCTTTACCTCTCTTGCACTTACAAGTACGGAAATGTGTGGTCCGTATTTCAACAGGATTGTATTTACTTCCTGGGATTATCTCCCTTGAAATTAACAATTTGTTGTAACATAATATTTTACCCTTTAAATGTTTTATTTTGATGGTATCAAAATGATGAAAAGATACTACGATTAATTGGTTTGTTTATAGACCATGTATGATTAAATGTATAACTCTTAAAGTCGTGTAAGCCTAAAACTACGTTGCAGTTTTCACACTGGGTGTGAAACTAACTGAGAAACTCATCATCACTGGAGATGAAATTGGGTGTGTATTTTATACCCTATTTACTAAATCTCTGGTAGTTTTACTCTTGATAAAATTCTACATTGACAGTAAGCTGGTCCACTCTAACTTCCTTCTTTTGGGTTGGACATTGTGCATTTTTTTTATCATATGTACTGTAGAAATAATAACGCTTCTTCTTGAATTTTCCAATACAGTGCCGTCCTTTAATTAAATGTTATTGCATTATTAACCATGCTGGGTGTGACAACAAAGGTACTAGAAAACAATTACAGATGCAAGTTGACGTGGCTGACAACAGTCTGATGGTGTAATTATGGGTAATGCAGCTCAGTACCCCTGCTTGAAAGTATCTAGTAATGTACTTTGCACCAAATGTTGTGGAAGGCTGTTCCATATCTGTTTACTGTCTGAAAAGAAGAAATGCCTGCATGTTGATATTCTTGCATATGGTACAAGGAATCGTGTAGTGTGTCATCTAGCTACCATTATCACTGAACTAGTATACATATTTGTTTAGGGGCCAGCTGAAGGACGCCTCCGGGTGCGGGAGTTTCTCGCTGCATTGAAGACCCATTGGTGGCCTTCGGCTGTTGTCTGCTCTATGGTCGGGTTGTTGTCTCTTTGACACATTCCCCATTTCCATTCTCAATTTTACTGATGATGTATGCTGCTCTAGCGTTGGTATTGAGCACTACCAGGTCATGTACTATTCTGTACATCATCACAACATTACATCTGTACTACCTCTCAGCTAGTTGTTGCCACTGTAGACTTAGAGTTTTTAGCATTGATGTTACACTGCTGGTTTGTTGGTAGTTGTTCATTACAAAGCAGGCTGATCTTCTTTGCACACATACTTTCTAGTTTTGGTTCATATACATCCTTGCGTCGTCCGGTCAGAATGGGGACGTTAAATCTGATGCCTCGTGTAAAGAGAGTGCCACGCTCTTTGCACGTAAAGAACCCTTGCAACAACACTTTGAGGGGTCCGTAGGTGACCTGTTGCAAGGCTAAATTTCTGTCCCTATCCAATATACCCTCATTTCCTGTGAAAGTCTAAATTTCTCCAACCTTAATCCCGTAAGCCCCTATTACAGAACCTACCTATTGTATTCATTGTTAATTTGTTCTCATCCTGAATATGCATGAAATATTTGCCACTGGACGTTAAGCAACCAACAATCAATCAATCATATACATCCTTATCTTTTAAATATTCAGCTTTGAGCATTCCTGATGAAGGTAAATCCAGAAAGGTGCTTCAGATGCATGAAATTTATAAAGTGTTGTTTTAAATTTTTTTTAATAATTTTACATTATTGTATCAAACTTTTGATTTGAGTATGATATGGGATAAGAAAAAGAGTTCCAATATACTATTTATACCTCTTGTGTAATTGAATTTATACCATAGATGAACTGTACATTATATGTATATAGACACCCCAAAGACAGGGTAGGGGTTTTACCTTGGTTTAAAGTTGCATGTATATGAATTTTATAAATTTGGATATGCAAGGATTAATTTTAATATTCTGTGGAATACATGCATGAAATGTTTTAACTTATCATGCTTATACATCACACAAAATAGTTTTTTTCAATAAATGAAGAAACAATTGAAATAATTATGATTAAAAAATGAAATCCTTGAAAACAGTAATATATTGATATGAGTAATTTTTGGAGTTTCTTATAACAAAATATGGAGTAATTTCTGCTTATATCATCTTTTAATCTGCAATTTACTCTGAAAACAGGTTGGCAGAATTCCATCAAATATGTAGAAATTTTCTACAGGAGATGAAGTTGTGTTCCTTTTTATATTTTGAATGATTTTTTTGGGTTTTCTATTCAAAACCATGGATTTTCTGTTGTTAAATTAATGATCTTGAATATTGTCACAAATAATATCATAATATGATATGGAATAAAATACAGCAACAACCATTACCTGAAGAAAAAACTTTATTAATTTGATTTTTTTTTATAGGTGAACAAAAAACAAAAAGTAACGGAAAAGACGTGTAACTGCAGCAGGACATAAAAAAAAAATGTCAGCAACAGACGGACTGTGTTGCTGTGAATATGAAAATTTAGATGGAGAGAGGAGTCATATACTGGCCTGTTGTTGTGATTGTGAGGCTCTGGATCAGATAGTTGACAGGTTACACAATTTGTAGAATAAAAATATTGCTTTCCAAAATAATTTGATAGAATATAATTATGAAAAAAATACATATGGCTGAGTGGAATAGTGGGAACAAAGAATTCCTTACATTCAAAAAAGATTCCTAATTTGGCTTAATCATTGTTTTGAGAAATGCATATCAATTATCAATTTTATGATATAAACTGTATTTTGATAAGCCTGCATAACCTCATAACCGTTTATTAGATTGCAGCAAAATATACATATTGGGTACTTGAATGAGAGGAAAAACCTGAATAATTTTGGATCATTTCTTAAAAGGTCAAGGTCAGTTGCTTAAAATAGCATAAAATAAGAGCAGAAAAGGGGTTTTCAGATAATAACCCCATAACCTTACATGTAATTGGCACCATATGGTCACTTATAAAGATGTATAATGAGAGAAAGATCTCTGTTGATTCTGAGGTCAATAACTCAAGGTCATAATAACAAAAAACAAATAAACTGAAATTATTACAGAAAAGGTATTTCTAGTCCCTACATAGGAATGGAACCAAAGTTGACTGACAGACTATATGGCAACATATTAGAGTAAGGAATTCCCTTTAATATTTAGCTCAAAATATCTAGATCACAGTAACTAGTAATGTAGAGAATTTAGCAAACAATAAGAACATAACAAAATTGTTCAGTTTTGTGACTTAGCTCACAAAGGTTTTTCGATTCCTTTATGAACATGAATATGATTGCTTAGGTTCTTTCTTTTTGATCTCGCTCCGAGTAAAATTAATATATTTGAATTATAGTGATAGAAATGATATTTTATGAAACTTCCAGATACAGTACATAGGGATTCAATAAAGAAAGAACTTTTGCTAGTGTCAAATGAATCACTGTGACCTAATAGTGATTATTAGTTATTTAAGGTGAAAAAACTCTCTTGATAACTCAATCATATAATATCTAATGACTATACAAATTGAAAGTGGGATATCAAAGTCTTTCATCGTATACGCTGAGAAAAATCAGCATTACCAGTTATTATTTTAACTAAATTATCTTGTTTGTGCCATGTACAAAAATGTATGATAATATCACAAAATTATATTTTCAGATGTTTTAAGTGTGAGAAAATACCAGATGGAATGGTTCAAAGGTTCTTTGATACTTTGAATGACAGATGTCGATTTCCAGGAATTTTTGGAAAAGGGGCTGTTAGAATGAACTTGGACATCTTTGCACCATGCTGTCTTGTTGTGGCTTGTATTTATATATCAACCAATGGACCGTACACAACATTCTTCATGTTGACTTTAATGCCAGTGTTTATGTTAAGTTTTTATTATATATGGAGAAAGAATACTCAAATAACTCGAACTCAGTTTTTTTACTCGTGGGGATTGACATCAGTTGTGTTGATGTTTCTTGTTTTCCATATTTATACCATATGCTTTAGAAAGACATTATTGTGGGAACATATTTTACTTTTTACTGCATTCAGTCTTATGATATATTTCTTTATCAAAACAAAGAAAAGTCCTAGTATATTACGACACGGAATAAAGGATGCCACAAGGGGGAAAAGTTCAAAACATGTGACTGTTAATTTGGAGAACAATACTCATGATAGAGTAGATGATATGTTGTCACAGGAAATTGAAGAGAAAGATGTCACATGGGTAGACTCAAGACCTATTAAGGGTATGTATTTGTATAAGAAGTGTCTGTGCATTAATTATGAGTAAAAGAATAAAGATGAATGCACTGAAGATGATTTCTACAATTCATATATTACTATAATTGTTATATGATTTGCATATTAGGGAATACTTTGATTTGATTGGTCGAGATGACTTCTGGTAGTTGTTCTTGACGTTGTTTATTTTTCGATAGACGACGTTGACCGAACTTCTTTTTGTAACCAATGTAAACAAGATGGCAGTGACGTTAAAAATATTTATTTTCACTTTGGGTGCATCATTAAATTAAATAATAAACACAAAACATTCATTTGAATGATAATAAGATATTTTTGCAGTTAATTTTTTTTATCAGATAGCAAATTTCATGGAGTACATTTTTTTGGCGTTAACCAAAATATATATTCATGCACCGGGCCAATTCAATGACATAAAATGTAATATACAATTTACATGTGACAGAGGTTCAGAGTGTGGAAATTAAATTCCTTATCATTAATTTTGAAGAATTATAAGGATTAAACGCCTTTTTAAAGGAATTTATTGGTGTATAAACTGGACCAAGTCACTCACAAACATATCATAAAAGTCCTTCTGTCCTTCAGACTTTTATGATATGTTTGTGAGTGACTTGGTCCAGTTTATACACCAATAAATTCCTTTAAAAAGGCATTTAATCCTATAGTGGATTAATTTATTTTGGTGGTTACCAATTTTCATGGATTGAGAAAATATTGTTTTTTCCTGGAGATTGGATTTCATGGTTTTGCCAAAGTCTGCATACAAATCTATCAGTCAAGGGTATAACTTAAAGAAGTTATCACAGAAAATAACAGGCATACTGTTGGAAATCTGACAGAGTTATCTCCTCCTGTCATGAATCGTGTTGAAATAACACATGTGCGTTATTGTACAAAGAAACAACGTCTGTAATAACCCCTTTCAGTTATCACCATGATCACAGACATTTTCGTCGGGTGAAATGTAAATCGGGTCAGATACTTTCAAATTTACCACTGTTTGTTTTGTTCTTTAGATCTAGTATGATTTCAACATGTTTACATTATTATTTGCAGTGAAACAACGTAGGCACAGTGATTACCAGTTCATGTATTTTGATGATAACTTCTTCGTTAATCATGATCATGTTAATAATGTTGTTTTTTTTTGCGGAAATTGATTTAATATTTTCACGTATTTGGATTATTTTAGCAATTCATCAATGATACCTGACGATTAAGAGGTTATTAATCCTTCAATTCCAGTTATAGAATCCACTGCACATTGAGGGAAAAACTGAAAATATGTTTACAAATAAGATATGTCAAGCCAATAATAACAACAAGCTTGTTATTACAGTTTGGAGTTGTCTTCCCCCAAAAAATCATCGAAAGTGTAATAACAAGCATGTTGTTACTTGAGGCTTGACCTTGTTTGTAAACATCTGCACAGTGACTTATCCTAAATGCGGAGTAGATTTTATAACTGAAAGTGAAGGATTTATAACCATTTAATAGTAAGGCATCATGCATTGACAGGAGAAGATAACTCTGTCAGAATTCCCACAATAACAGTATGCCTGTTATTTTCTGTAATAACATGTTGAAGTTATACCTGTCTTAAGATATGACTGTCTATAGAAAATTTGTACTTTGTTAAACATTTTAATTTGTGGCTCATCTTTACCCAAGAAAAGGAGGCAGCTTTATGTTTTCTTGTCTGTGAGTCTCTCCGTTTTTCTGTCTGTTCAATCAGTCCTGGATCAAGTTATAGTTTTTGTCGAGCCTGCGACTTTTGTCGCAGAAAGCTCAACATAGGGATAGTGATCCTGCGGCGGCTACGGCAGCGGCAGCGTTAGCTAACTTCTTAAAAGCTTTATATTTTAGAAGGTGGAAGACCTGGATGCTTCATACTTTGTATATGGATGCCTCATGTTACGAAGTTTCTGTCAGTCACATGTCCAATGTCCTTGACCTCATTTTCATGGTTCAGTGACTACTTGAAAAAAAAGTTCAGATTTTGGAATGTTAAATTCTTTCTTATTATAAGTAATAGGATAACTATATTTGGTATGTGCGTACCTTGCAAGGTCCTCATGCCCGTCAGACAGTTTTCACTTGACCTCGACCTCATTTCATGGATCAGTGAACAAGGTTAAGTTTTGGTGGTCAAGTCCATATCTCAGATACTATAAGCAATAGGTCTAGTATATTCGGTGTATGGAAGGACTGTAAGGTGTACATGTCCAACTGGCAGGTGTCATCTGACCTTGACCTCATTTTCATGGTTCAGTGGTTATAGTAAAGTTTTTGAGTTTTGGTCTGTTTTTCTTATACTGTATGCAATAGGTCTACTATATTTGGTGTATGGAATGATTGTAAGGTGTACATGTCCAACTGGCAGGTGTCATCTGATCTTGACCTCATTTTCATGGTTCAGTGGTTCTAGTTAAGTTTTTGAGTTTTGGTCTGTTTTTCTTATACTGTATGCAATAGGTCTACTATATCTGGTGTATGGAATGATTGTAAGGTGTACATGTCTAGCTGGCAGGTGTCATCTGACCTTGACCTCATTTTCATGGTTCAGTGGCCAAAGTTAAGTTTTTGAGTTTTGGTCTTTTTTCTAATACTATATGCAATAGTTCAACTATATTTGGTGTATGGAAATATTTTATGATCTATATGTCAGTCATGCAGGTTTTATTTGACCTTGACCTCATTTTCAAGGTTCATTGCTCAGTGTTAAGTTTTTGTGTTTTGGTCTGTTTTTCTTAAACTATAAGCAATAGGTCAACTATATTTGTTGTATGGAAGAATTGTTAGCTGTAGATGCCTACCTAGCATTGTTCATCTGACCTTGACCTCATTTTCATGGTTCATTGGTCAATGTTTAGTTTACTTGGTTAATGTTAAGTTTATGTGACAGTCGTAATAAAGCTTTATATTTAGGACTATCAACATAATATCAATGATTAGTAAAGAAGGCGAGACATTTCAGCGTGTGCACTCTTGTTGGTTAAGGTATACATAGTTTACCATGAATTTGTGGTCAACTTGAAACTTAAATTACACATGTTCATTATAATGTGAACTTTTTAAATAATATGCCAAATTTAGGATCTGAACATGATTTCACTTTACACAAATCTGAAATTTGATAGTGCTAGTGGGGAATGGTGTCCTGTGGACACATATTCTAGTCCTGAATTGATATTTGTTACATGTGTTTGTATATTTGTCATTTCATTTATCGAGATCAAAGTAGAAAGGACTGTGTTCTAAAAATACAAAGCTAATTTCACCAAATATTGATACATTGTGCAATATGGATAAAAGGAGATGCTGAGTTCAAGTCAATAAGACAGCACCTCAACAACACAAAAAGCCAAAAGACAAGTGTCTATACTAGGTCTCGAGTCTCTACAATCATGACAATGCCAAAGCTTCTAAAAAAAAAAAAATACGACTAGTTAAAACAACCATTGAATTTACCATTTGTGTATCTGTTGTAGATGGGAAGTTAAAGATCTGGTGTGAAAATTGTCATTTTAAGAAACCTCCAAGATCTGGACATTGTAGTATCTGTAATGCCTGTATATCAGTCAGAGATCATCATTGTGTATGGTAGGTATTGTCTACATAATTTAGATCTTCTTTGTTAAACAACCTCTCCCCATGGAGAACCATCATGTGTAGTTTGATATAGTTGTAACTGTAAAATATGCCAGGTAAATTTAAGCATGTTTTTGAAGTCGCACTAGAAATGCTTTTAGATATTATGAGTATTGCCATTAGTCCTTAAAATTTGTGAATTCTGACATCACGAAGTAAGTATTAAAGATACATTGTACTACATTTTTGTATATGATTATTGCACTTATATTTTTTGGGGAAAAAAATATTATGAAAAGCTTGTGAGTACAGTATGTTTTCAACAAGGTAAATATTCACCATACAAGCACCATATTATTATCATGATTATATAGCAAAACTTTTAAAATTACAAAAACACCATGTTCACTTTAAAATGATGTTAACATAACAATTTTGAATTATTGCACAAAAATGGAATATAAAGGAATATGCAAGTTATTGTACAGAGAATTTTACTATAAACAAGGAGTTATTTGAATCTGGAATATTTTTGAATTCTGGAAAATTGATAAGAAATGTATGGTGAAAACTTACCCAACTAGATAGCCAGGGTTAGCCACGTGCAACTGGCTATTGTTCAGGTTACTTTCACTGATATTTCAGTATGGCTAACTCTTCTTAATTGGGTTTGTTTTCATCATACATTTCTAATCAATTTTTTGAGAAAATTGTTCCAGATTCAAATTCAGTTTAAAAAAAAATTTCGAACACCACCATACTTTTTACTGATTTATCTAACTTGACTATACAATCATATTTTTCCATATTTTGATACAAGATATGAACAAAATCTCATTGTTTTCAATTTCAAGGATCTCACCTGTGTAATCATATGTATTTTTATTGTTGGTAACAACAAAAATACATGAAAATATATACATGTGATATTATGTTTACATGTATTTTATTTTAGGACCATGGTGAATGAAAAAATGCATTGATGAATAGTCATTAGGAAGCTTACTGATATTTCAGATTTCAAAATTTAATTGGAAAAATCAGGTGTTGCTGATACATAAAAAATGGTTATGAAGCTGATATTAACCTTATTTTCATGTTAATTTGTACAGAATTGAAAAAAGATTGATCTGTTTTCATGTTCAGGATTAATTATTTTATATGGTTATTTGTTGCCATGGCAATAGGTAATAGTTAACAGGATTCATTGGTGTCTGGGATTATTACTTTTTGGATGTTATGACTCTGTTTTTTTTATTTTTGTGGGATTGATTGTTGTAAAGACCATCTACTAAAGTATTCATTTTTATTTAATTTTTAATTTTTCGAATTGATTACTGTATTTAATCTTCCATGACAATATTTGTTTATTTTTTAGGATTGATTGCTGTATAGGATCACATAATCACCGTTCATTCATCATGACCATGGCATTATTTTTATTTTGTGGTTTTTATGGATTCCACTTGACGATGACTACAGTCTGTACACCAGAGATGTATTTTGACTGGTTCCTGTTTCCTAGTGACTGTAGATTCCTGTATATAGATTTTCAGTAAGTATAATAAACAGAATAAAGACCTTGGGTCATATAACAGGTAACCAGTACCTATAGGTGAAGCTCCCTTTAGGTTTAAAGTCAGGTTCAGCAAAAATTAAGATAAGAAGATGTGGTATGATTGCCAATGAGACAACTTTCCACCAGAAACTGAATGATATAGATTAGATTATCTTTGAATCAAGGATATGATTAAATAGTAATGTTGAGGCTATTGATTATAGCATAATAACTTCTGTGTAGTTCAGGTGTGTGAAATTAAAAAATAGACCCATATACTTTGTATCTCTTATACTACAGCCATTATGCTCAATTAAAATAAAACCCCTTAGTGGTTTGGTGTAATCTTTTTTATCTAGCCTGCAGGATGTCGTTGGTTCTTTCTTTCTATGTAAAACAGAAGACTTTTAAAAAATTGTATTCTTCATTTAGCATACTGCATAATTATATGAGTAAGAGCAAACTTTGTCCAGCTTTGAGTCAGGATAATGTGTGGATAACATGTAATCTTTTAAAAGCTATTCTGGTAAATTTTGATATAAACTACTGGTAGTTAGAACTACAGTTTATGATAAATAGAGAAATGATTGATTTTTGGTGTTTTAACGCCACTTTTGGGCTATTTCGTGGTGGCCAGTTTTTATTGGTGGAGGAAGCCGGAGTGCCCGGAGAAAACCACGACCTTCGATAGGAAAACTGACAATCCTAGTCAATTAAGATTGGAGTCGAGTGCACCCGCTTGAGCAGGGTTCGAACTGACAACCTCGGTGTTGACTGGCTAGTGATTACAGTAGTAACTACTTAGACCACTCGGCCACCGATGCCCCCAAATAGAGAAATGAAATACAACCAGGAATTATTTGTGTATTAATGATGTATTAGTAGATTAAAAGTGTATGAGTCCTCTCTTGTTGATATTTGATAATGCACGAAAAAAGAATTTTAATATTGGAAGGAAATACTCTTTTGTGCATACATTTATTAATTTTTGTTGATCTCTGTTGGTTTTAATTCAAACTGCATTCTTTTAGAACTGAAGTGATAGTTATGGTAAGTTTTCTAGGCATGACAAGAAATCTTGACCTACAATGCTATTCACTTCAGATAAAGACATATCAATGTAGTTTACAGCTTATTGTTTTGAGAATCTATCAAAAAGACAAGAGAGGACATATTAATGATCATTCCAGCATTTTTTTTAATAGCAAGCTAATAAGAGTTGTCCTTCTTTAACCAAGTGATATTCTTGTAATTGACAGACATTGTGCAAACCCATTTTTGAGGACTGCAAATATTAAGTCTGGTTGGGATTTATCTCTTTAAATTTAACTTAATAGATTTTCTTGGAGAATTACCCATTTCTAGTAACATTCAAAACTTACACATAAGTAAACGTGACTTATCAATTGTTGCAAGCTAAGAAAAATTTAGTACATATATTTTCTGACTTAGTCTGACATGCTTCTGTGTAATAATAAATAAAGAGCATTACCTGTATAAACTATAAAAAAATATTATGTGCGTCAACAGCTGAATCATTAGAGGATAATCTTAAATACAAATAAGTAAAGGTATAGATACAGATATTTGTTGACAATGTATGTGATTATGTATAGCTTTTGTAATAGTATACAATGAAATTTGATGTCATAATTGAACTATGATCTAACCCATGAAGAACTGGTATAAAGAAAACTACACATGATAAATGAAAAAGTTACATTTTTAACAGCAACAAAAGTATTAAATATAAATTAAGACAAAGATAAAAATTATTTGTGTTAACAGGACTGACTCCTGACTCCATTTTTTATGCCTTCCAATAATGTTTTTTTTACATTAAGCAATATTAAAGTCAAAATATCTCCCCAATAAACTAAAGAAAAAAAAAAGAATAGTAATTTTAATATTACTTGTTACACTTACCTGATATCCTTACATTATGGATTATCTTTCCGGTATTTGGTCACATCTCGCTCAAAACGCTTGACTGATCAAGAATTCAAACCTCTCGGTGAATCAGTCCAAGCGTGAGAACCCCTTCAGTATTCTTTCCGGCGAAATCCAAAGCGGTCACGTTTCTTTATTCGTCAGAATTAACGTGTCTAAGACACAAGTTTTTGCAAATTAAGTTTTCGTATGCGTGCAAGGATGACGGAAGCTACCGTTCATCACATGCTCAGTGAAGACGAGGTATTTTCTACTGCCAGCAGTCCAAAATCATCAGTGGCAGGGGATGCTCGGGATAAAATGGCGGAGCCAAAAGCCTCGAGAAAGACCAGTTCCCGTAGGTCCAAGAAAAAGGACGAGGTCGAGGAACTGAATAAGAAATGGGAAAGCCGTTTCTCACAGATAGAAACCAGGTTTGATAAATTTTTTGATTTATTTAGTTCAAACGATGGTATAAATATAAACAAGGATACTGTCACGTCAGGTGAGCAGAGACCTTGTCAGAATCAATCTGAACAAGATAGTGGCTCTTCAGGAGCGCACAGACTTGTTCAGGATTCTAACCATGAACATTTTCCAACAGATTCAGTTCGTGAAAGGGAAAATGAAGATGTCGTATCTTTGGCACCAGGCCTTAGAGAAAGACATGACATAGGTTTACTATCAGAAGATGAGTCTTCTTTAAAAAGTGAAACTGAAAATCCTCAAAAATCTTCATCAAGATTCAGTAAATATGTGAATGGTAATGAAAGTGACTCAGATGAGAACAATAATGATCACTTAAAATCTTTATTTGGGGATGATGTTAAGACTAAAAAAGAGACAAGCTCTGGAGGTCTTATTCTTGACAAAAGTCAAATTGATATTTTATCTGGTTCTTGGAGGTGTAAAAATCCAGAAAGGTTGACAGCCTATAATGATGAATATAGACACAGTTTTCCTGTTCACGAGAAAACTAGTGATATTTTAGAAGTACCTAGTCTAGATAATATGGTACCTGATTTATTAGTGAAAAAACATGGTGCTAAAGCTTATTCAGTAAGCCAGAAAAGCAATTTATACAATCCTTGTTTAAAATCCCTTGAAAAGTTGGCATATCAAGGCCAGGTAGCTGCACGCATGGGGATAATTACTACAGCATACACCCAACAAGCTTTGGGCAATTTGTTAAATACTTTGTCAGAAAATGAAGTTAATCTAGACAAATCTATCCAACTTGTAAGAGACATATTTGCAATGTCTACAAAATCTTTGGACCAAGTGGCACGGGCTGGTGCATTTCACCACTTAATTCGTAGAAAAGCTACTTTAGAGGACACAGGTCTTAATGATATTAAAGAGCTTAAGCATCCACTTGTATCATTACCTTTGACAAAGTCAGGTGTCATTGGTGACAATATGGAACAAACTCTTAAAGACAGGGTTGACAAAAATAAACAATTAAAAGAGTTACTGCCTGAATTACATGTAAATAAAACTTTTTCAGTGAAAAGGAAAGCTACAGGCAATCAATTTTCCAATGATTGGTCTAAGAAACCAAAATTTGACAATGCACAAGGTTCTACTTTCACAGGTGCTAAGTCTAATACACAGCGTACAGTACAAAGAACTAGTACAGTAACAAGACCAGATAAAGACGACAAGAGTTCTGGTACAACGAACAATTTTCGTCGCTTTAACAACCCATTTCATGCCAAGGGGCAACAAAAGAAATGACTATCAGATCAAGGTAAGCAACTTTCATGTGCAAATGTTGCTTCCAGAGATACCTGTAGGGGGTCGTTTAAGCTTATTTCTAAAGGAATGGACAAAAATAACAAACGATCAGTGGGTTTTATCAATTATAAAAGAGGGCTACAAACTGGAATTTCAACAGTTTCCTCCAAAAACAGGAGTAAAAATAACTTCTGTTCCTGCAAAAGATTTAGAAATTTTACATTTAGAAGTAAAAGAACTTATGGAAAAAAGCGCTGTAGAATATGTTCCGCAAGCGGACATTTTAAACGGTTTCTACAGCACATTTTTCCTAGTTCCGAAAAAAACAGGGGACATGAGACCCGTAATAAATTTAAAACCCCTCAACAGGTATCTCCGAAAACAACACTTCAAAATGGACTCTCTGTCAACAGTTTTGAATGTAGTAAAACAAGGGGATTGGGCAATATCTCTCGATCTAAAGGACACATATATGCATATCCCTGTATTTCAAAAACACAGACAGTATCTGAGGTTTTGTGTAAAAAACAGCCCTTGCTTACAATTTTCAGCTCTACCGTTTGGTCCAACATCAGCTCCTCGAGTTTTTACCAAAGTAGTATCGGTAGTAGCTGCACATTTACGAGCACAAGGCATCAGACTAGTAGTATACCTGGACGACTGGTTTCTAGTAAATCAATCATCTCTCATGTTAGTCCAGGATCGAGAGATAGTGTTGAATCTTCTGGTAAAGTTAGGTTTCATAATCAATCTAAAAAAATCCTCTTTAACTCCAACACAGAAAATAACATATATAGGTGCATTATTCCATCTGGATTTAGGAATAGTAATGCCAACACAAGAAAGAGTGTTGAAATTACAAAAAACAGTCAAAGTAATGAACTTGAAAAAACATGCAACAGCCAGAGATTTTTTACATCTACTTGGAATTATGGCTTCTTGCATAGAGATGATTCCCTATGCAAGACTTCATATGAGACCAATTCAAATTTATTTGCTGAGTCATTGGCGCCCCACTTCTCAAAATCTGGAACTGAATGTTCCAATTACACAATATCTAAAATCTCATCTGATTTGGTGGTCAGATACAGCCAACATTACAAAGGGCAGATCTTTACAACACTGGGAAACTCATGTGACCATAACGACAGATGCTTCTACATCGAACGGTTGGGGTGGTCACATGGATTCCCAGATAGTCCAAGGGACCTGGTCAGATATACAGAAAACTCAACATATCAATTGTCTAGAGTTGGAAGCTGTACTGAAAACAATACAACATTTTCTCCCTCAGTTGAAAAGGAAAAATGTACTTCTGCGATGCGACAACTCGACTGTTGTACAATACATAAACAAACAGGGGGGCACCAAATCAATTCAGCTTTGTCAAAAAACTTGGGATTTGTTGAAACTCCTAATAGAACACAAAATTCAGATAAAAGCAGCACATATAGCAGGCAAAGCGAATGTGTTAGCAGATCTTCTATCACGGACAAAAATAAGACACACAGAGTGGTCTCTTCAGGAGACTGTAGCTCAACAAATTTTTGTCAGGTTAGGCAGACCGATGATAGATTTGTTTGCATCAGCGGAAAATCGCAAAGTGAAAATATTTTGTTCATGGTTTCCTCACCCGGAAGCATATGCAATAGATGCTCTGTCCATACCGTGGGACAATGTAATCGGGTATGCTTTTCCTCCGATCTGTCTAGTACCGAAAGTGCTCCAACACATGAATCGGTACAATTGCCAGCTAATTCTTGTAGCTCCTCATTGGCCAAGGAGACACTGGTACCCAGAACTGCTAAAAATGATATCAGATTATCCCATAAAAATACCAGTTCAAAAAAATCTACTACATCAGCCAAGAACAAAAATATACCATCCAAGCCCAGAAATATTCAGTCTGGTTGCATGGCCTCTATCAACAGAATTTTCAAAAAGAGAGGTTTTTCTAAAGAAACTAGACAACTCATGTCAGCTTCTTGGAGAACAGGAACTCAAAAGGACTATTCTAGTAAGTTCAAAAAATTCTGTGGCTGGTGTAGTGAAAGGGAAATTGATCCCTATTCTGCCTCTTTAACAGAAACTGCAGATTTTCTTACAAGTCTGTATACCAGTGGTCTCCAGTATAGTACGATTGGGGGCTACAGATCTATGTTATCAAGTGTTTTACCCCCAGTTGAAAAAATACCAGTAGGTCAACACCCATACATTATTCGTTTATTGAAGGGTGTTTTCAATTCAAGGCCTCCCAGGGTCAAACTACTTCCTGAATGGAATTTAGATAAAATACTTGAAATGTTAAAGAAAAAGCCTTTTGAGCCAATGAAAAAGGCTGAACTCAAGTTTATCACATGGAAAACTGTATTTTTAATTGCTATCACTACTTTCAGGCGTTGCAGTGATATACAGGCCTTACGTTTGGGAGATGGAAATATATCTGTACATAGCAGAGGAGTTTATTTTATTAGAGAAGGATTGTCAAAACAAGACCGTCCTGGACATTTTGGTGCTAAGATTTTTGTACCTGCCTTTGATGCAGAAAAGCTTCTTGACCCTAAAAGGGCATTAACGTACTATTTAAAGAGCACTGACAATTTTCGTGGTGAAAACAGACAAGATAGTAAATTGTTCTTAGCAATCAGTAATCCACATAAGCCAATTTCAAGTCAAACAATTTCATCATGGATTGTGAGTACCATTCAGATGGCATATAACGACAAAAAGAAATCTGTTAAGGCTCATTCGACAAGAGCTATTGGTCCTTCTTGGGCTCTTTATAAAGGTGCATCAATGAAGAACATCATGGAAGCTGCTGATTGGAGCAGGGAATCCACATTCACCAAATTTTACTTACGTCACATAGACCCTCATGTTTTATCGAAGTAAAAAAAAAAAAAAAAAAAAAAGAAGAAAAATACATAAAATTCGAAAAAAAAAAAAAAGAAGAAAAATGTGTACAGTTTTTTAACTTGTAATATAGTTTGTATAGTGTTGGAAGTATTCATATCCGACGAGATGCGATGCAAGTTTTTAAACCTTTGTGTGTGAGATGAAAAAGACATCTATTTAATGTGTTTAAAGTCAAACATTTAGACTTTGTATATAGTGTAATATAGTGTACATTATTTGAACAAAAGAATTACAGTCCACCGCTTGAGTTGGGACTGCTTTAGAATCTATGGATATCCATAATGTAAGGATATCAGGTAAGTGTAACAAGTAATATTAAAATTGTACAATTTTGTTCACAAATTGGAATTTTGTGAACGTAGTTACACTTACCTGATATACTACCCACCTCCTCCCCATTAGTAATTCTTTTGGCAATCTGTTTGGATTTCGCCGGAGAATACTGAAGGGGTTCTCACGCTTGGACTGATTCACCGAGAGGTTTGAATTCTTGATCAGTCAAGCGTTTTGAGCGAGATGTGACCAAATACCGGAAAGATAATCCATAATGTAAGGATATCAGGTAAGTGTAACTACGTTCACAAAATTCCAATTTGTGAACAAAATTGTACAATTTTGTTCATGATGTGACATTAAGTAATATATATTTATCTGGCCTTACTATTAAACATTATTTGTGTGATACATGTACAAAAATAACATTCCAACTTTTTTTGTTTCCAGGACAGCTGTAAGTTTTGTGGCTGCATGTTACACTTTGATGGCTTCCATGTTAATGTTGTGCAATTTTATCTACCAGATAGTGTTGATTAGCCAGAACACGACATCACAAGAATTCCATCAGGCTTCACGACGAGGGCTCAGAACAAAATGTTTCACTGTGAAAAATAATATACATAACAATGGGTTCATAAAGAATTGGATAGCATTCATATTTACAAGACGAGAAGATAAAGGAAATATTCCATGATTTTTACCGCATATTTTGTAATTCAATATTAAATTATTGTGTTAAATTGAATTTCAAGGTCTTCAGACATGTATTACTGTTGATTTTGTTATGCCCCACCTACATTAGAAGGGGGCATTATGTTTTCCTGTCTTTTTATCTAATTTGTGATATACTGAACATGGAAATGTGATATTGTTTCATATTTTTTTTTGGCATACTCTTTTCAGTATATGATAATCACTATATGTAAATGTTTGTTCTTCGGTTTTCTTTTTTAGAAATCAAAAAAGATTATGTTGTGATTTTTTTATACTTAACTCTTATTTTTAATGAGTATGTATAGCCAGTTAATGACTCAGACAAGTTTAAAAATTGCTATAAAAGTGTAGCTCCTTTTATATATATTCTAGTATTTCCAAGTATTTTATAGTATTTTCTCACATATATCCTACAAATCAGGGTCTGGATGGTGGTGGTGTTGGGGGGGGGGAGGGGTAATTAATTTCTGTCTTCTTTAAATTTTTAAGGCATTTTTCTGAGCTGTATCAAAATCTCTGATAAGTTGAAGTATTATTTAGTCCTGGAAAAATTCCTGTTTGTTCAATGATTTTTTATGCCCCTGCCATAGTGGAGGGGGCATTAAGTTTTCAACTTGTCCGTCTGTACATACGTACGTCGTCCCAAAGTTGGTTTCCGTTCTCTAACTTTAGTTTGCCTCAACCAAATATTATGAAACTTATACACAATGCTTATTACCACAAAACTCAGATCAATTACAAATTTGGGTAGCGTCACTTTTACCGTTCTCCAGTTATGTCCCTTTATAACTTTATATGATATGCAAGCGGGGGCATCATCTGTGTCCCATCATGCCCATGGACACATTTCCCATTTATTTTTTTTAATGAGTCAAACTTGGTTGATTTGAAATCTCTTTTAACTTCAGTAGATTATAAATTCCCATGAAAATAATGCCCCTTTCAAAATCCTTATTCCGCCCTGGTTCTACTGTTAATTGTTGCATTGTTTTAATTTGTTCAGTTTGGCATTATGTTTTCCTGTCTTTTTATCTAATTTGTGATATACTGAACATGGAAATGTGATATTGTTTCATATTTTTTTTTTGGCACACTCTTTTCAGTATATGTAAATGTTTGTTCTTCGGTTTTCTTTTTTAGAAATCAAAAAAGATTATGTTGTGATTTTTTTATACTTAACTCTTATTTTTAATGAATATGTATAGCCAGTTAATGACTCAGACAAGTTTAAAAATTGCTATAAAAGTGTAGCTCCTTTTATATATATTCTAGTATTTCCAAGTATTTTATAGTATTTTCTCACATATATATCCTACAAATCAGGGTCTGGATGGTGGTGGTGTTGGGGGGGGGGGGGGGGGGGGATTTGTCATTAATTTCTGTCTTCTTTAAATTTGTAAGGCATTTTTCTGAGCTGTATCAAAATCTCTGATAAGTTGAAGTATTATTTAGTCCTGGAAAAATTCCTGTTTGTTCAATGTTTTTTTATGCCCCTGCCATAGTGGAGGGGGCATTAAGTTTTCAACTTGTCCGTCTGTACATACGTACGTCGTCCCAAAGTTGGTTTCCGTTCTCTAACTTTAGTTTGCCTCAACCAAATATTATGAAACTTATACACAATGCTTATTACCACAAAACTCAGATCAATTACAAATTTGGGTAGCGTCACTTTTTTGACGTTGATCAGTTATGTCCCTTTATAACTTTATATGATATGCAAGCGGGGGCATCATCTGTGTCCCATCATGCCCATGGACACATTTCCCATTTATTTTTTTTAATGAGTCAAACTTGGTTGATTTGAAATCTCTTTTAACTTCAGTAGATTATAAATTCCCATGAAAATAATGCCCCTTTGAAAATCCTTATTCCGCCCTGGTTCTACTGTTAATTGTTGCATTGTTTTAATTTGTTCAGGATGATGATTCAAAATTTTGTAATTTGATTTAATGCATACCCGTTATTTGTTGCATCATTTTTATATACACAGATTGTAATTTATATTTTATAATTTTTTTATTATTAATATATTCTATGATAATATCCATAATACTCTGAAGGTTGTAACTTACTGCTTTTTAAACATTTTTTTAGATTTATGTCAATATTTTTTGTAATACGCTTTAGTCTTTTGTAAGCACAACTTCCAATATCGAATCATGCAGAATTTGATTCATTGTTTGAAATCCTGTACGTTTTATTTTTTATATTTTGTTCATAAAATTCAGAAGGATAGTGAAATCACTTTCTGATTTTGCTAATTAATTATTTGAAAAAATGTAAATTCTATAGTTCTGTGTACTGTAAAATCAGACAAAATGACTTCATTCAAATAACTTATAAATTTGTTTTTTGTTTTTTGTCATAGCATGTCAATTTATCTTTGACTTATGAATTTGAATGTCCCTGTGGTATTTTTCAGTAGATAAGTAGATATAAGAAGATGTGGTGTGAGTGCCAATGAGACAACTCTCCATCCAAGTCAATACTACATCATTGAGTAGACAAATTAGCTGATTTTTCATATCAGTTTTAAAATTGTAAAAAGAAAATATGTTTATCACATATTTACATGAGTTACGTTCCCAAAGATATGTTGTATGTCATCATTTTCAAATATTATTAGAAAATCAAATTTAATTATCCTCAAAGGCCCAAGGACTATTCCAGAAAAAAAATTAAATGGGGGAAGGAGTTTTGACTTTTTTTCCCATTACCACTCATACAACTGTAATAGGATTTTCAAGTGTATTATATAGTAAAAGAAAGTCCTGATCTTAATCAACTCATGTTTTAAAATATACTGTGCTGTCCAATTCGCCATTATCTTTTTTTCTAGAATAGCCCCAACAAACAATTATATACAAATTTAAATAATAACATATTTCATTTCAGTAAATACTTTAAGTCTTGTTTCTAAGCATATATAGAAAAAGTAGTGAAATTTAAGTTTTCAGTATGAATTTTAGATATTCTATATAATATCTGCACTTATATTCATCATAACATAGTTAAAAAGAGGGTCTGAATTGGTTTCTGTGAAGGTGGGATTTATCATATGGCATTTATTATTTTATTTATCTATCTTTGTTATTATTAATTATAATATAAGTAGTTTTAGAGGTCATAATTCCCAATTCCAAATTCATTATGGGACCTAGTAGATTTTTTTTATCATTTTCTCAATTCATTATTTTTTATGGCCATTATTCTCTATTCATTACACTGTAAATCTCATTCAAACCGTAAGAAAATGTCTGACAATATGTCATGTACTTTTTTCTATAAATTCTGGATTATTTGGTGCAGCTTTTTTTTCAGTATCCATAATAGTAATTGAGGGTATATGTACTTTAACAAGGTATTGCATGGGAATAGATTTATTTCTGGATGTGATGAACTTTGTTTTCTTTTATTCCCCTCTTTGGTCACGTTGGTGTCAAAAGTCAGCTATGTGTACATATGTGCATGGAAAACCTCAATTAAGGATGTTCGCTCCTCTTGTTTTTGAATTTTTGCCAGATTTTCGGAATCCTCTGGTTTTATCCATTTAGTGCCATTAAACAATTTTGCCCGCTAACCCCTACTTTTCTTTTCATCTTTTTATTACATATAGTTTAAAGAGCCATATTTGAAAATCTTATTAAATCCTTGTTATTTTTTCATTGTTTTTGAAAGACAAAAGGTGTCAATGTTAAATGTATGAAAAATCTAGAGAGAATCATTTCCCGCTAGATTTTCAATGGCTTATATCTCGAAAAAAAGCACACAGACCCATCATTTTTTTCTGCTTTTTTAGTTCCTTTATTTATATACTATCAATTCATAACAGTCTTTCAAAAAACTTGTTATTTTGAAACAGAGTAGTGAACATCCTTAAGCTTGCATTACATGAATAGTACAGTACTAACTATTAGCCATGAATTATTGGCTTACCTTAGACATTGTTTCAACAAAACCAATTTTTTTGTGAGTTGCGGTCACATTGATGTACCAGTATATCCACATCTCCTTTTATTCATACTGATATCAAATAAAAGAACTAAACTATAGCTATATATGCATGGTATCAGTTAATACTATTCTGCATAATGGTAGTGAAAATGAGATACTTCATGCATACATGACCTCCAGCGTAGTTCTGAGGGTTTTTATAGAGAAAAGATGTTTAACATTCTTATTCCATAAATTTAATCTGTTCTAAACATGTTTTTTTTTTATATGTGCTCATTTATTGCTTTAATATAAGTGCTTCCTAGTTGTTAAAATTTTTATTCATAGAATATTAAATTATCAAGCTGACTTTATATAGTATTTTACAATTTTGTTAAAAGGAGAAGGTATGATAAGACCATGGTTTTGGATCCTTTAAATCAAAATCAGAAAGTATCATTTGCCTGTCAGATGTTCACATTTAATTTTTGAATATTATCTTTTACATGTGGCTTAAATTTAGTTGTTCATATTTTTACATTTGGGATGTACTGAAAAAGTTGCCTAAGTACCTTCTATTTGAGTTCTTGTATTTTATATTAAAATATGAGAAACAGCATTATCCAAAAAGATATTTTTGCCAGAAGATGTCTTGTACAATGATGATTCTTGAGTAAAAATTTTTTTGTGTTAGTCTGACAGTCTTTCCAAAAATATTTTAACCTACAAGTCTGAAAATCGGTCTTCTATCAAATTTCTTAAAATTTATATGGCTTGCGAGACTGGCTAGACAAAACTTTTACTAGCATTTGATGTAGTGCTTGTGGATATTTGTAAAGTCTGGTCTGATGCACATATTCAGTATAACAAAAACTATGTATAAAATGGATATTTTAGTTCAAATATGTAGATTTTCTATATCAGTGACATCACAGATGTCATTTTTGTACTAAAACTTTAGGATACTAAGGTATCATCTTTTTTTTCATTTATCGATAGAGGCGATAAATAAGATCGAGGAATTTTACCGTTTTGCTTTTTCAAAATAAAAGTTCTTATCACACCTCCTCCTTGCTGTGAAAACAGCATTATTGTTGATAATCTTTCTTCAGCAAATAAGTCTGTCAAAACAGCATTATTGTTGATAGTCTTTCTTCAGCAAATAAGTCTGTCAAAACAGCATTATTGTTATTAGTCTTTCTTCAGCAAATAAGTATATTTGACACATTGTAGTTTTATAAATACTCTGTTATCTCTTCAAAAAATCATTGAACTAAAATTCAATATTCTTAAAAGGTATTGTAAATCCCTTGTTCCCAAAAATATAGATTAGGGAGATTACTCTGAATTACTCAGTTACTGTTATTTAACCGAGAAATGTTTATTATAATTGCTTACATTTCATATTAGAATAAGATATGTGAAATTTTACATCAACACAAAAAAGATAATAATAATTAAGGAGTTAAATGTTAAAGTGTTTTGAAATTAATAATAATATTCTCAATTTTAAAGTTTTTGCCATCTTCTGCTGTGGAATTTCTCAAAAACAGAATGTTTGCCTCCATGTGCTTTACAAAATTAAACTGTTATTGCATCAAAAAGATTTCTTGAAAGGATTTAGTATTTTTTTCCATTCAGAAGATCAAGTAATTTTATAGTAAAAGTTGGAACATCTCAATTAATTTAATTTGTGAAAATACTCAAGGATAACTATATGAATATATATTTACTGTTAATATAAAACACTTAAATTTATCTATGGTCAAAACTCATTCAATTATTTAAAATCATTTAAGATTTGAATAGTTTTAAAACGAAAAAGTAAAAATGTTGTCTTTAAACAGATTTTGTAGTATATTACAGTTCAAGTTTTGCCAAAAACAAATTTCAATGTCCCAAAAAAGAAGCAAATCTGATGACAAATATGCCTAGTCATTTTCTAGTTGTAGGAAATTAGGGCTATTCCATAAAAAAATGTAGTGGGGAAGGGTTGAACATCACTTTTTGTATACCTAACGACAGATTATTTTTATTATTTTCATTTGTAACAAAATTGTATTTGCTTCCACCCCTTTCGCCCACAGGAAAAATATTATGAGGTGTCCAAGCTTTCCGTGCATTTGTTCCCTTATTTTTTTGCATGAATTAATTAATTACTGATCACATCTTGTGCGTAAGCTTTTTTTAATCTTTTTAGTCAGAAATTTATTGTACATTACTATATAAATATTTTTTAAAATAGTCAAATTTATTTGAAATAAAAAATGGGTATCTGTGTAGTCTAAGGGAGATAATCTAAACTAAATTCCACCTTCAATAATTTTTCAGAATTTTTTTTATGAAGTCACTTCTTAAGGGCATACAATACAGTTACAGGGGAAGTAATGATCTTGCTAACGTAAAATGCTATTTTTCGCAATGTCAAACTGTGACATATCCAAAACAAATGCATTTTTCTTTTAATCATTAGCTTGGAAATGAGTACATGGACCCCACTTTATTAAAATGATATTTGACTTGATACTTTGTGAAGATTATTTGTACAAATTTTTATAAAAATCACTGATGAATTTTTTTTAAATTAGATAAATGTGCAGCAACAAATGCTGCATTTTCTAAAATCATAAAAAATTAATAAAAATGAATTATTTACAAAGAATTGTTACACAAATTAAGAGCATACTTTTGTAAAGAAGATATTCCAAATCTTTTTACAAAAATCCCCATGTGTTAGGTATGTCTGTCCAAAGGATAGAAATGTCCAAGAAACCAAAATTTTAAGTAAATGTCTAAAATTTCAACCTCATTTATCTCTTAATTTAGCACATGAAGGTATATTTTTTTTATCACATATTTGATTTGACCAAGTGAAAAATAGCTTGTATGCAGATTTTTGTAAAAAAATGATTGTACAATCAAAACTGTATCTTATGCCCTTAAAAAAGTTATACTGGTTTGCTGTTATTTGCCATCATTTATTATTTGCTTAACAAATGTTCAATTTTTTTTTTTAATCAGTATATTTTTTTTAGAAAAAGTTAAAGTTGTATTCAGATTTTGCTTATAAATGCCTTTAATTAAAACTGTCAAGAAATATTATAGTTATTATTATTAGAAATGTTATACAAAGTTTTATAAAAAGTAGGTTTTTTCTTTGTATTAATGAATATATATCATGTATCATGTTTATTAAAGTGGTATTCACTTGTTATAACTTCACTATGAATTGTTTACATTTTATGTTGTCAAGGAAATGATGGAGGTGACAACATCTTTATCAATCCTTTCGTGATGTTTCAATTAAAGGCAAACTGTGGATTCATTTGTTTTCATGGATACCAATTTTCATGGATAAAGGAAAAATTGAATTTTCATGGAGATTTGATTTCGTGGAATGCCAAAGTCTGCATACAAACCTAAAGAAAATTTGCACTTCATTGAACATTTGAATTAGTGGTTCACCTGTACCCACGAAATCCGTGAAAGTTGGTATATCACAAATAATAATGAATCCACATAACATAGTGTAATTACTTCATTGTGTTCATAAGGGTATTTGTTTATGTGGTTATTAGGTTTTTAAGAAGGTTTTGTTATAAGTAATTCGGGTCGATATAGATGGGTACAGCAGGGTATTTGTTTATGTGGTTATTAGGTTTTTAAGTAGGTTTTGTTATTAGTAATTCGGGTCAGTATAGATGGGTACAGCAGGGTATTATAGTTAAGTGAGAACTTCTAATCTACCCTCACTTATGGAACCAATAGCAAAAGTGTTTGCTTAGTAATTTGTACAAGTTGAATGCAACTGTATAAATTTATTAGTCTTTTTATTTATTTTTATTTTTTATTTTCTGTCCAATACTGTAATACATTTTATTTTACTTAAGGAATGACTGTAATATTTTTTCTGTCTATGAAGAAATAACATCAAAAATGTGGTGCACACTGAATAACCCGCGTAGCGGGTTATTTTAAAGTGTGCACCACATTTTTTATGTTATTTCGAATAGACAGAAAAAATATTACAGTCATTTCTTATAATTTAATTCTTAATTCCATTTAAACCGGAGTAAATCATGAAAAAACGTTGATGACGTCAAGGTCACATGACAGAATTATGTGTATGAGCTGATACACAAAACAACGTCAGCCAATCGAAAGACGCGTTACATCCAAAATTAAATTATTTTAATATAGATATAGAAAAATGTTGTATGATTGCTAATGAGACAACACTCCAACAGAGACCAAATGACGTAGAAGTTAGTAACTATAGATTTTTTTTTCTTTTATACTTCTATGAAATATTAATACATTATTATGTAAATCTTGAAATAAGTCAAGTTAAAAAATGTTTTCAATTTTAATAAATAATGTTTCTTAATTATGTTCCTTGATTAAGCAAAACTCTCTCACATTATTAGATTAACTTCAGTTTATTGAATACGATTCAACTTAATCTGTTAAAAATACAATGCTAAATATTAATGTTAAAATATTTACTCATCCTAAATTATGCCACCTGACCTGGGCTGAAATAGCAAATGAACAGGCCCTTATTCAGCCTGATTGGCCAGATTTTTCATTGAAATTAGAATTTTTGATTTAAGGTTTCCTTTTAAAAATTTTTCATTCAAAGTTGAGATATTAACTATACTTCTCTAATTATAAGTAACTTAGGATCAATATTGTCACAATAAGTTACTAGTGTTAAGACATCATAGAAATATGAATACAACCTAATGTTGGGTAAACATCAATGCTGCAGCATAGCCTCTTTCAAGCATTCTGATCAATATTTAAATTGTATTTTGAGCTACAATAATAAAGAAAAAGTGAGACCCTGTTAAATATGGTCAACAGGTCTCATATAAATATTTACTTATTTCTTGAACAAATTCAATATTTCAATCTCTAAAATTTGTCATTTTTTTAAAGAAAATAAAATTTATGCATTTTTTGTCATTTAAAATCTTAGTGAATTTTTATTATAATTGAAAGCAATTCCAATACAATATACTTCATTCCCAAGCCAGATAAGTTTAGAAGGAGAGCTCCTCCTTTAAAGTTTTCCTAAAATGTTGCTTTACCTTCCCCTTATATTTCAAATGTTTGAGAAAAACATGTGTGAAATTTTTTGAATAGGTGAACATTTGAATTAATGGCCTTTGTCAACTCACTGGGCATTGATGTCATACTGATACACCTAGTTAATTGTGAATGCTGTTCTGATTTTTCCTTCCTCCTAAGTCACATTAGTAAAATATGTGGCCTTACATACAGATACATTCTTATTTTATATTTAATATGATAATAAATAACCATCATTGGTTGTAAGATGGAACTATTATGTATATCAAAAACCAAGTCTTTAATCAAATGTTATGTATTTAACTTCATACAGACCTTTTTCTTTTATATTATCTTATCATTATGTGATGAAAATTACAATTAACTGTCAATCTAATTAAAATACAGATCCTTTGTTCAAGCTTTGCTTACATAGATCTGACAACACTCTCTTTTGCTTTCTGTTCTGGTAATCATTACATCAGCCAATACAATTTCATCCTTCATTGTTTTGAAAGTGTGTATCATCAGCATTGAAGACCTGTTGGTGACCTTCTGCTGTTGTCTGTTCTATGGTCGGGTTGTTGTCTCTTTGACACATTCCCCATTTCCATTCTCAATTTTATCAATTCGACAAAACCAAAGGACCCCCCCCCCCCCCCCCCCCCCCCCATGGGTCTTTTTAAAAAACAGAAAGAAGAATGGAGTGTTTTCAGATCATTCTAAGCAAAGCTTGCATGGACACAGGATCTGTATTTTAAATCAGATTGAATTTATTGATATTTGCTGTATCTTCATTTCCTAATTTTTTGTATTTTCCAAAGTAAACTGTTCCCATTCTATCATAACATGAAAGTAATTTACAATACCATTTTAACTGACAAAAAATATAAAAGAACATTTAAATCCTGGTTGAGGCATTATTCCTTATAAATTCAATGTACTAAGATTTTTGTCTACTTTTAAAAGCAATGTTTCCTGTTCATTTATAATATGATACTTTTTCATGCACAAGAAATATAATAGGACCTTGCGATCCTGTGTGAGGAAATATTCATTAAAATTCAATGGACTATGATTTTTTCTTCCTTTTTTAAAAGCAATTTTTCCTGTTTGATCTTTATTATGAAACTTTGAGTCGTATACTTTTTCACTGATAAGAAATATAATAGAACCTATTCATCCTCCTTGATGCAATATTTGTTAGAATTATAATGTACTATAATTATTTCAAATTTGTCTTCTTTTAAACACAATTTTTTCCTGTTCAATCATAATAAAATGAAAGTAATTAGTGGTATAATTTTCAGCTGCAAAATATATTCTGTGGTTTCAATTATTTTCATGCGTACTAATTTTTTCGTATTGATGAAAAATTGTATTTCTATGGTTACTGGATTTTGTGGTGTTGACAAATCCTTCATAAAATCCTATATAAAATTTGTTTCTTTGGTTAGCTATACCCTTGAAAACCATGTAATTTGGTACCCCAAATATAGTTATTCATCCACACTAATATAAGCATTATATCCTGCTTGAGACATTATTCAATAACTAGGAAAAGGAATAGTATTTAATATATTATACTCCAAGGTATTAAAAAACTTGCAAAGTTGCGACAGATCTCTTTAAATGACAAATACTTAAACAATTGGTGATTTTGATTGTCACATTTCTGTCCTTGGATGTATTTATTTATTTATTTATTTAATATTAGTAATCCAACCTAGTTAAACAAGATCTGGAAGAGTTATTGTTGAGACTTGTGTTTGTTCAGAGAGCATGCTTTGTGTATTAAGATATCAATATCAGAGTTGTGACACATACTCTCTACAAGTATTTCTTCAGGGTTTTTATCATTTCTATTTAAGAATTAAAAACATAAGGTGTTTCTGAAATTAAAAAAAGTATGGAAATGATTGAAGCAAAAACTGCTATGAAATTAAATATTATTGCATGATTGATTCTGTTATAGGTGTAAAACCACCAATTCATGACACAGAACGAGCATACATGAAAGTAGTTATTATTTAAAATAAAATAGCTCCTAGGCACAGATGTAACTTTTGAAATTTATAAAATATTTTGTTCATTTTGGGATCACTGTATAACCCTTATTTGATGTTTAGCCTGACTAATAATACAAATATTATAGCATGATTGATTCTGTTATAGGCGTAGAACCACCAATTCATGACACAGAACAAGCATACATGAAAGTAGCTCTTTTTGGCATCAAATAAAAGTTTAAGAAGTTAGGATCACTGTATAACCCTATTGAATGTATAGCCTGACTTATAATACAAAATTGTATAAAATTGAAATAGGAGGGGATATACACCTGTTTCTTAAATCAGAAATACCTGTTTTCATTTTTTTTTTAACCATGTAGAGTGTTCTTAAATGCAATTAATGGTATGTTGATTTTTTCAACACTAGCCAAGATAAGGATTTTTTTAATTTGATTCACCTGTCACTTTGTTTGAACTTGATGTGGTAGAGCTATGATAGCTTGGAATTGCAGAATTTAACTTATAAAACAAATGGGGTCATGACTTAGTGGTTTACTTCCTAATGTATTAATTGTGCCTGTGCCAAGTTTTTTTTTGTATCAACAATCATACATGTATTGAAAAAAAAAATTGTATTTCAAGTAACTTGTTTCGTTTTCTTGTTTATATATGTTGATAGTATAAAATAAAATAATTATGGAATATTTTAAAATGATATCTTTTTGAGCCAACTGATGAGTCTTATGAAGATGAAATATGTGCTGGTATACTAAATTATAAACCTGGTATCTATGATGAGTTTTCACATAAAACAGATGAAGGAGAACAACCTATATGAAATAATGTTATCCATTCCAAGCTATATGAATAAAATTAGAACTTGCAGTAGATGTGAATAAGACAGCAATCCAAAAATGTAATAAGATAAAAAAATATCTAGGGACAACATACACCCTTACACAATAGATACGTGTCCATACTAATGATACAATGTTCATTGCTGTGAATCTTGACAGACAGGAATAAGATAGAAATAGGACAATAAAAAAGAGTTTCAAAGAAAAACGAACACAATGGCTAAAAGACAGGCAAAAGAAAATAATCCATAAACACATCTATCCCACAAAAATACCAGGAGTGAACTCAGGTGTTACATAAGCAGTTAGTGGTAACTTGTGAAATAATTCATCATATTTATCTTCTGGAAGTAATTTTGGAGGAAACCCCCTGTTAAAAATGTCTTTGGTAGAGATTTTACACCATGCCTTCTTGTTATAACTGTTTTGAGTTGTCACTTCGACAAAACATTTCCATGCATCATCAAAAGTGTGATAAAGTAGATATTGATGTCAAGGGATAATTACTTATACAAACTTGAAAACTCCGCTAGATGCTCATTTTTACCAAGCTACACCATTCATTGTATGCCACTTGGTGTCATATCTCAAACGTTAACCATTAACCTTTATACAAATAAATTATAGGCCAGAGTGATCCTCTTTTATAGGATGGTGCTTTAATCGTCTGGATGCATTCTTACACTGAATTATGTTATTGTAAGTTAATAACTTTCTGAGGCTGAACTTGTACCTAAACAGTAAAATCAATGAAGCGATGCGATTAACTATTTATGGCATAACCATAGGGATTTGACTACAGGTCAGATATATAGCCCGTTAATCGTCGATGTGCATAAAAAAAATATATCAAAACCGGATAGAAGGGGTAAACGATTTTTCTTTAATGCAGACGATTAACGGGCTATATATCTGACATAGTGAAGTCCCTATGGGAAACGGGAAAGCTGGAGAGAACGCCCGGAATCAGAATATTAATTTGCCATGTCTTTCTGCGCACTGTTACCCTATGAACTAGCACGTAAAATACGGTTCAGCATGTCGGTCTAGCACAAAGCAGGATTAATATTCATAATATATTAACAGAGACATTATATGTCTCGATCTGATATTAATATGTTCTCGACCTGCATATGCATTTTTACAATTTGTAACTGAACGTAAAACAACAATTCCAACACCATCATCATCATGATTTTATCTCAACATGCAATTACTGAGTATGTACTCAGGTGCTGGATGTTTACTGGATGTATTTTCCGCATGGTTGGCTATATAGCGATGTAGAACTGTAACATTAAGTTAAATTGAACTGAAACCGGACATTGATAAGATCTGATAAGGCTGTGCGTGCAGTTTTTAATTAGTTTTGCGTGAAGTCAACTTTTCAAACCTAGCAACCTGTCACGAAGAAAAACACGCTCAAACATTAAATACGCCCATGATATGATTGACTGTTGCTTTTAATTCTTAACGTCCAGTGGCAAATATTTCACGCAACTCTAAGACGAGAACAAATCAACAATGTATACAACAGGTAAGTCCTGCAAGGTATTGGGTGGAAAATTTGGACTGGAACTTGCAAATGACGGTTGAATAAGGACAGAAATTTTGCCTTTCAGCAAACTACCTCCGGACCCTTCTAAGAATTGTTATACGGGTTCTTCAACTTGAAAAGAGAGTGACACGGGGCACGGAATAAAAATTGCCAATCGGAAAGAACGCGGCTGCGTATTTATATATCCCGCACAACCAAAGCGGACGCCCCACTTCGGCAAGAGTTTTAAAGTTGGACTGGAGAGGTCCAGGGACGATCCTATTTAGATTACACAGTCAACCCTTGGGGTTCGTCCATTGTTAACTAAATATGCATACAGTCTGTGAAAACGAAAAAGTCGAAAAAATAAATAGCAGTGTATAAAACATAGCACTAAAGAATAAGTACAAACATGGGTGATCTCAGGTGTTCTGGAAGGGTAAGCACGTCCTGCTCCGGGTGTGGCATTCGTCGTTTTGTCCATGGCACGTACAACTTCGATAATAAGTCTCATTCGGTGATGTCACAATCTAAGAACATAAAGTAACATGCAACATTCATAGGTACTTGGGGACAGGACAATTTTTTTTAGCCCTCCCCCTTTTTATCTCTTCCAAAATCCGTTATTTTTTGGTTTTCTATTAATTTCAATATTATATATAATATATCAGAGACCGCTGTGGATAGTAAACTTGAAATTGATAGTAAATATCAATTGCAAGTTATTTCTAGTATATTTATGTTCATAATGTACAGTAAAACTCGAAAATAATTGATAGAAAACCACAAAAAAAAAACCAAAAACAATGGATTTTGGAAAAAAGGGGGAGAGGTAAAAAGAATTGTCCTGTCCTGTCCCGAAGTACCCATGGTAACAATTCTTGTTCAAAAAGTTTACCTTTCAAACTACATATCAGTATTAATGTTTTTTTATTTGGAACCAAATATTATTTAGGACATACTAATGACTGATATGATTTTTTTTTTTTAAATTTCGATTGAAAAAAATTACGCTATGACGTTGCCGATGCAAAGCTCATCTGCCATGTCACCCGTACCAAATGTTTTTTGACGTCGTCTGTTTCAAAGCGATTTTAAAAAAATGATTTAGCAAGTTGTTTTCCTACATAAGCGACATACTTTGTCAAAGTAAGAGAACATGATATCATTTTGATGATGCACATACTGACTTATTTTATTGTATAGTAATATTAAGATTAACTACACATTTCCGTTTTTTTTCTAACGGAAGATGTGCATGTAAACTTAACTGATAGTTATTGCTGTATTTGTTAAATCAATGTGTTTACAACCATTGCTTATCATTCATCTGTTTTGTCTGGTAAGTCCTTCCTTGTTCGTTAACTAATGTACTATAACATAAAGCATTTGTTTGTTTTTACCCTTTTAAGGTCAAGTTACAGTAAATGGGCCATGTCATGGATTTTGGGAAAAATTTGCATGCACCTTTGGCTCGTTGGTTTTATAATGAAAAACGAAAAAAAAAGCATTTACCTATTTTTATTTTCTGAAATATTACTGATTGAATTCTTTCAAAATAGATGAACATTTGTATAGAAAGCACATAAAATCGGCGAAAAACGTTCTTAAATCTGCCTTAAAATCACCAAAACTCCAATTTCAAAGTCCATAGATTTTTCTTAAAAATTATGTATGTTGTTGATACAAAATGCAAAATGATCATAGGGTCACCGACTTCGTTTTTACGGTATAAAGGGGTGTTCTGGGAGAAAAAATACCACAAAACGTCGAAATAAGCGTAATCAGGTAATGTCATTGCTTTGAAAGCCGTAAAACGTCGATTATTGACGTTTTTCACTATCAGCTAGGTAATAGATTGGATTCTATGGTTATTTTTATCATATAAAGGGATAATACACGCAGGATATATTATCTCCACCGCTATAACTTAAAAACCACAACTCTTTATCCGTATGAGACCAACAGGGCTTCGTTCAAAACCATACACAAATTATAGAAAAACTGTCCAGATCTATATTACAGTTTAAACAAGGACAATCCAAATGGCAAATATTTTCTATGAACTCCGAAAACACACAACTTAACTAACAACAAAGCCTCCCCAATTCTCAAGATCGTTCATAATAAATTAAAACATGCAATATGTTGATAAGGTTGCTGCAACAAAGTTGAAGTTCGAGCAGGGGTCAATGGTCCGGGTTAAACCTTTTCATCATTTTACAGTCCTTCCTGCTTGACCAAACACCATCAGCTTTTGTATACAAAATAAACTCGCAAAGAAAATGAACCCTATTAATTTTTATTGGCCAGAGATCGAAAGTCAAGCCTAGGACAAAGGACTGGGAGTTGAAATATAATCCGAGGCAATCTTGTTATAGACAATCCGTATATTAAAAGGCTGACCCTTCCGATTTTCAAGGTCAAAATTTTATTTTCCTGGTGATCTGGATAGAGACCATCGCCATATGTTGAGAGTTAAGTGCTATGCATTATCACTGTAAGTGCGATCATTTCTGATGTGGGATATTTGGAGGTGCGATGAACTTTCATTGTGGTTTTATATGATAATTTGACATGCAAAAACTGACAATATTCATTTGATAACTTTGATATTAATGATATTTACAATTCAACATACAAACTAATCGTACATGCTTACATGTACTTGAATTTACACGGGATAGAACCGCCGTACAGTTGATTCCGGACTTTGTGTGCGTTCTTCAGGGATAAACAACAATTATTATTTTCATTTGTATACACAAATATATTGTACACGTTGTATGCATGTTTAGTCATCAATATAAATTAAAGAATTCCAATTTTAAATCGAACTGTACTTACTGAATGATAAGCACACGTATGTTTACAAACATTTATCAAAGCGAATCCCTTAAAATGCTTCACAAATGCAAATATTAAATAACTTTGGATAACAACTGATATATTTACAGATAGTGAGCGTATCTTCCTCCAGAATATATCCCGCATACCTAGTTCATTGTAACTATTATTTTTTCTAAAATAGTTACCAGTTTTATATTTTTTGTTACTGTACGGTTCTTCTGACATTGTTTAGATTGTGAGCAAGTCGGCTGAATTATCTCTATCTGATGAAAATGAATAAGATTCCTACTGTGCAAATGCATCACATATACAATAGAAATGAGTCGCCCCTACAGTGAAAATGAAAGTAGTGTATCATTATTCGACAGTATTCATTAAAAAATCATCAATTTTCGTTTGTTTTTTTGTCATTCTACACCAGAAATACATGACACATACAGTAAAAACGGTATTTCAGGATTCGCACTATATATACACTGATTAAGGAAAAATATCATGCTAACTGATTTTCGTAAAAAAACCAAAATCATAGAATTTGCTTGAGGTATTCTTAATAAATGCAATCTGAAATCAAAATTAAAATTAAAATGCAAATGGTTAGTGTTTCATTTTTCAATACTTACACAAAACAACTGAAATTGCATGTCACATTAATTTTTTAAATCTTTTAGTCTTAACTTTTCTGTATATTGATAAGACTTATGATATTTAAGTAATTAAATATAATGTTCCCGATGGTCCTTTGTGTAATAATTTCCCCGAAATCTATAATACTGTTGAGCAATGTTTTGGAGGCAGATCGGTCTACTAGATGTCGCATAAAGTTTCTACATTTGAGGAAGAACAGTGCTGATGACTTGCCGCTGTAAATTAGGATCTTGGCGTTATATGTTTGTTACTAGATTTCCCACTGACAGTAGGAATTTCACATTAGGGATCATGTAGCAATTTACATTTGCATATTACGAAAAAAATAAACGACTTCCAGTCATGGTGATACATGTACCATGTATGTTAAGAATGTGTTATCTTAGAGATATAATAAACCTATTCTATACAAAACCTTAATCTCAGGTTTTTAGAAATTGTTAAATATGACAACTTTGATTTCATTGTTATCCTCCTACTTTTCCATGAACAACCCTTACATTATCAAACCAATAATTATTTAGATACTTTCATCTTTATTTTCACATTATTAAACACAACTGATATATTGAAACTATCTAAAAAGATACTGTAAATAATCTTAAGACGGTCTGTTAATTCCAAATAGAAACGAATCCACGAAACGAAACTGACCCGGGACGTAAGGTATTGATGCAAACCTATTTTATACAAAACCTTAATCTCAGGTTTTTAGAAATTGTTAAATATGACAACTTTGATTTCATTGTTATCCTCCTACTTTTCCATGTACAACCCTTACATTATCAAACCAATAATTATTTAGATACTTTCATCTTTATTTTCACATTATTAAACACAACTGAAATATTGAAACTATCTAAAAAGATTTAAGCCTCAGATATAATAAGGATTAAATATGATTTTGAAATTTATTCATATAATATTTCGTACATAAATGACAGTGCATCATAAGCCTCTAAAGGCTGGTTGGCATAAATATACATGTTTATTGACTACATATGTTTAAAATTGTAATATATTGTATTTCATGTACATTTACAAAGTTGTAATTTAAAATAAAAATATCTATCTATCTATATCTATACGTTTTCATTATTACTTTTCACTATTTTTCATATCTCTTTTTTAAATCAAGAGTCGTGGCACAGAGCCTGACAATAAGTGAAGGATCTATTTGAATGGAAACTTTTTTCCCAACAATTGCACTACATATATTTAACACGGTCAGATTGAACTTTTGATGCAATCTGAGGGCTATCAATTCTCTCATAACAAAAAATAACAACAATCATTTGTTGGTATGCGTTTCATTTGTGTGTAACATTAGTCATTTAATCATTTCCTTATGGAAAACATTCAATTTAAGCTCTGTAACACATAATTTGTCTCGGTTTCTATGTATGTTTTTTAATTTGTACTACAATATTGTTGTGTTCAAGTAAATGCTATTTAATATCGAATTACTGTAAATAATCTTAAGACGGTCTGTTAATTCCAAATAGAAACGAATCCACGAAACGAAACTGACCCTGGACGTAAGGTATTGATGCAAAGAAATTAAAATTGTGAAAAACACAAAATTTCAAGGTAATTCCTTGGAAAGGCAGTCAACAAAAAATAATTAAAAGACGGACTGAGATCAATTGAAAAAATATTGTTTTATTCAAAACATTGCTAAAACTATACATTGGTATGTTTTTGATGGAGGAATTTTTGTTTTATGTTTGTCAGCATAAATCACAGACTGAACCATAAAAGGCAATGTTACCATTATGAGACTTGTAAATTATTCTATAAATATCGTTATAGGCAACAGTCCAAAATACATTTTGATGATTTAACGTTTTGCCGTTCAATGTCTCATTAACTGTTACTTTCAAAAACTGGTGTGTTTGGAGTTTACCATCAAAATTACAGTGTTTGTGAACAATGAAGTTATTATGCTTAAAATGGAGAAACTTATAAGTAGCAAGAGATATTTACACCATCATGTATATTATTACTGTGGTTGTTATCATGTTGTAAGACGCACCAAAGTGTAAAATGTATGCGAAGGAGACGTGTTTGTTTCTTAAAAAAATGAAGAAGGACTTGGTGTTGTGAGTACATGAACGAAATATATGATTTATATTTCAGAGAGTTCCCGGATGTAAAAAGGTGAAGATAGCAACTGGTATTTGATACTTTTATTCCACCACAAAAGAAAAAGGGCAACTACAGTAATGGATCCAAAAAGGCCTGTTATTTGCTGATGGTGATAACAGGGGTTGGAATGTCGCCGGGGAACGGTATACATAATTAAAACATTTTAATTCTATTAATAAAACAACATATCCGTCTAAAAAGTAAATTAAGAATATAAAAAGTCAAAGAAAGATAGACAGACGATACGATAAGAAAATCATTTCTAAAGACTGGCCAACAGAACCGACTTCCCCCTCCCCTAAAACAACAAAAAAATAACAATAAAAACCAAAAAGACGGGGATAAACCCAGGTTCACCTTAAGGCAAAAGGAGATGTTGCATTTGTTGAGTTTTTTTTTGTATAAAACAAAGATGAACTCGGGTTCTCAAGAGGCAAATGTTGTTTATAGTTTAATATCTTCTTTCATATCCAACAGCATCGGTGGTTACGTGGTAACGTGTTCGCATCGAGTGCGGGAGGTCATGGGTTCGAACCACGGCCAGGTCAAACCAAAGACATTAAAATCGCCATTAAGCACGCGGCATTAAGGAGTAAGAGCATAGACTGGTCGGTTCGGAGTGAAAATAATGTGTCCGGGTATGTTGACATGTCTTCCTGCGGACTGTTACCTTGTGAACTATCACGTTAAAAATCCGGCTCAGCGTGTCGGACTAGTACAAAACAGGGTTAATATTCAAATTACATAAACATGTTCTCGTCCTGAATATGCATATTAATTTGCCACTGGACGTTAAGCAGCCATCCATCCACCCATCTTTCATATCCAGAGTTTAAAAGTGTCCAGTGAACTTTTCTCATCACTTGGCGTCCGTCGTCGTCATCGTTGCTTGTCACGCGTCCATCATCCGTCGTCGTCGTCGTTGTTTGTCACGCGTCCATCATCCGTCCTCTGTTGACCATAACAAACTTTTCTCCTCTGAAACTAGTCGGCCAATTGGAACCAGACTTGGCCACAATCACCAGTTTATAAATGTGTTCAATTCTGCTTGCCAACCAACATGGCCGATATGACTTAATATAAACAAATATTGGGTAATATGCAAGTTTTTCCTATTATCTTGCAAAATTCTATAGATGGAGAAAATATGATAGGTGCAGAAATGTTTAGAATAATCAGTTCTACACACTGTCTTCATACACAACAAAAATGTCAAACAATTTATAGGAGTTATTGCCCTTAAATGACGAATTTCACCATTTTTTTTATTTCTGTCTATTATCTTGAAACTATAATAGAAACTTTGAATAGCAAAAATGATCAACAAGACAAGATCTTTATGTTAGTCGGATTGCCGAAATCATTGGTCTTCTCTTCATAGGGGTTATTGCCCTTAAATTACATTTTTACAAATAGTCTGTGTTTTTGCCTATAATTATCTGGAAAATATTTTAGTTGGATAGAAATTTCATTACCGAAAACTATAAGCAAGACATGATCTAAATGTAAGTCAATATGGCAAAAACCGTCAGTCAACATCATAAAGGAGTTTTTGCCTTTAAATGACAATTCTTATCATTTCTAGTTTTTTTGCCTATTGTCTTGAAAACTATGATAGATAGATAGAAACTTTAAAAAGCAAAAATTGGTGAGCAGGAAAAGATCTAAAATGTATCATGAAGGCAGAAATTGTAAGTCATCAAAAGTTATTGCCCTTTGTTGATTTTTACCCAATTTTTGCATCTTTGGGGACAACCTTTTTGGGTTAAAGAAAAATTGAAACAGCAACGAGATCAACAAGACAATATCTATAAATAGGCGAACAAAGCCGAAATTGACAGTCGACTCCTCATAGGAGTTATTGCCCTTTAATGACTTTTTTTACCCCTTTTTTATTTTATTTTGGGCAAAAACTTAAGTCGATAGAGAGAAACTCAAAAAATGGTCTGCAAAACAAGATCAACAAAAAAGAAATTTTAGTCATTAATTATATTCAAGCTTACAATGTTTGAGAGTCGACATAAGGGAAGATGTACACATATCCTTGTGAGCGCCACAAGCTCTTTAGAACCTCTAAATTAGTTGATCGTACCCAAAGGGTGAGCTTTTCTCATTACTTGGCGTCTGTTGACATTACAAAAATCTTCTCCTCTGCAAATGGTTGGCAAATTGGAACCATGCAAACATGGCCACAACCCTCCGTCTGCTATTTTGTTTGAAAACTGTGTCTAACAATCCAGCCTGCCAACTTAAATGACGATTTTTACATATTTTTTGCGATTCAAGCTTTTATCTGGAAGATTATAATAGACAGAGAAAACTGTAAAATGATACATCGGATAAATTATAAGTAAACATAAAAAAATTAACAGTCAACATCTCATATGAGCTATTGTCCTTGAAACACGGTTTTAGCCCTTTTTGTGTTGTTTGCGACTCTGTAGATATGGAGAAACTGTAACTAACAGAAATGATTAGCAGTATGATATCTACAAATAAGTCAACATTGCCGAAATTGACAGCCCACTTCATATGGGAGTTATCGCCCTTGAAAGAAGTTTTTTTCAAAATTTTATGCAGAAACTAAAGTAGTAGATATAGAAAAACTGTTAATCAAATATCAAAAATGATCAGCAAAATAACATATACCAATGAGAAGCTAAATAAGATTTATGAATAAGCAAGAATTATAAAATCGTCAGTCGACTAATTATATGAGTTATTGCCCTTACATGATGATTGGTGGCCAATACCATTGTTTGACTGTATATGAAATGTTGAATTATTTGAAAAACCAAGGGTTTCTACTCCCAGATATAGATTGTCTAGTCGTATTTAGTAAGACATTTCAGAATTTTCTGTTTTCAAAGCTCTACAACTTCGTGTTTGATTTGGACTTCCAACTTTTTAAATTCGAGTGCCACTGATGAGTCTTATGTAGACAAAACGTGTATCTGGCGTACAAAATAATAATCCTTGTATCTTCGATGAGTTTGTTTAACCTGATAGCTTAAACGCTATAATAGATAAACTAAAAGTTTGAACAGCAAAAATGATCAGAAACACAAGATATGCACATAGAATATAATATAAATGAAATTGTCGATTATAGGAGTTGTTGCCCCTAAATTACATTTTTTTTTCTCTGCTCATATCTTGAAAACAAGACAGAAACTAAGTCCAACAACAATGATTACTGAGACAAGGCGCTACTAATTGAAACATAACGATGCAAATGACGACAAAAAGATACAATAAAACAAACAACCACCCATCGAAAACCTTCTATTTGAAATTTTAATTAAGCACATCATTACTACATATACGCAGCTCTAATATATAAAACAGACTTTTTTCTTTTCCGTAAGAATCGTCTATCACTGAAAAAACTTCAGAAACGGATAATTAAAAATTTACATATTATACATCGATATATAGATATAGATTCATTCTTGACCGCAGATAATGTAATAATAACCCAAGATTACTACATATCAACTTTAGAGTTACGATTATGGGCACTATACCAAAGATAAAAGTCGTTGATTGAATGATTGTTGTTTAGTTTAAACATATTTTATTTGCGTAAATATGCAAAAGGGATGAGACACAAGTTATTCAAACTTATGAAGTCTTCTCCTATAATGATTGTTGTTACTAACAAACGTTCAGTGGAAATATTTAACGCATACTCAGTGCTAATAAGTCATTGCAATATTAAAAAAAAATAATTTTATTATACAAAATAGTTGGGCTGAAGGGCAACACGTTGTGTTACAGGAAACACTGTCATCATTGAATAAAAAGCTGTCACGTATTGCAAATCAAGAACAAAACAAATCATATGCCAACCGCAGTTGACACGAAACAAACGCAATGTGTACAAGTTATAATACATACAATGGTAGTGTGTTGTCAGATAATTAAGCATAATTTGCCAATAAAATACTGTGCCTGAGATTGCTGCATATCTTTGATAGAAATTCATCACCATACATGCATAGGGGTATGTGCACACACATATATGCATGGTGTGTACTACTACCATACCTACTTGTCCAAGAGTACTTTAGCAAGCAGTTTCCGAGCAGTATAGCCTTACTTGATTTCCCATGTGGCACTACATAAGAGTAGATATTGGTGGGCATAGACCGGCGTGAAATAAAGCTGCTGAGCAATCAAGATGAAAGCTATTAGTCGTAATATAACGGTAATCAAAAAGGCGATGACTGGGAGGCTGGTGGGTAAGTTCAATGTCGCACAACTATTACTACTAAACTCTAGAAACAACTGATTAACGTTTAAGCTGAGAAACATTAAGATAGGAACACGTGCATCCTTGTTGATGAGATAGTTAACAAAACATTATCAGCTACCACATACCAACATTAATCAATTTTTGTGATAAACTTAGTGTATCGTCCCCATAAAATTGATGTATTTGATAGGACAGAGAATATAAACATCAATTGAAAATGTCTTACTATATCATATTCGAAAGGTATACTCATCATGTTTTGAATAATAAAATAAACTCATCATAGAAACCAGACTTAAAAATTTTTGTAACAAGACGTGCGTTTCATCTACAAAAGACTCATCAGTGACGCTCGAATCAAAACAGTTATAAAGGCCAAATCAAGTATGAAGTTGCAGAGAATTGAAGACCTAAAAATTCCAAAATAAATACCAATGAAGAGTTTTATTTGTGACCTTTTTATTCAAACAAGAGACCATATTGTACAGCGAAATAGTAGCAAAGAATTTGTAATTATTAAACTTTGTTTTAATCTCCGGACCTGTGTGACATATATGACCCCGTTTACGCTTATACAAAATTGAACCGATCTTTATTTGAATCGATCTTAATTAATCTAGTTTGTTTACACTGGAACTTTGAAAGAACCGGTCTGACCTAATCATTTTACATTTCGTAAACAAATTATCGTAAAAATAGAAGAGTATGATAACGTGTGCATCTCGCGCGGACAATGACACACTGCAAAATCATGAAGAAAGTAGTTGGATCATTGGAATTTCGTATGCAGTTATTAATTATCTTTTTGGTTCATACGTCAGAAGTCATTCGGTCACTGTGTTTGAAGATGAGAATTTGCAGCTAAGAAATAGAATTGCAGCTAAG